GACTTCACTAGCTATCAAAACAATAACGGATTCTACTTTGATCCTTTCTTCGAGTTCAGAAGTAACTATATCCTTTGACAACAGCAGTCGAAGGGGTGACAGTGTCTTTAGTTCTAGTTTAAGATCATCATGCTTTAATAAAGAGCCCGCAAGTGACTCAACTTTAGAACGTATATCACTTAATTGCTTATAGACAGCGGCTAATTCGCTCTTAATTAGATCAATACCATCTGTTCGTGAGATAGAACTCATCATTAAGTTAGGCATAAAGTCATCCAGCAGCATGTGTGAAATAAGTTTACTCCCACTATTATCTGATGCAACAGGAGTTGCAGAGCATGGGGTATAGGTAAGACCAGAGTTGATAATATCTGAAGAAGTAGGACTTTTTCGAGCTCGTTTTTGTGTCAGTCGAACCATTTTTCTTCAAGGGTTAACTGAATGTTATTATTGATTTATAAACTGGGGTTTAACGATATATAAGCACTTTGTAATAAATACCGTGTCAGAGTAACGCAAACTTCAAACGTACCGCAAAGTGTGGTTACATAAAAAGTGTGACAACTAGGAAAAATATGTGATCTTTAATTTGTTGTTACAAAAAATCACCAGATATAAATGTCACTATATAACTCCCCCCCCCTCTAGGGAATGCGTCGGTGTAGGTATGCCCGACGTAAACTCTATGTGCTTTGGAGGGAAAAAATCATTACTTAACACACAACAAATGAAAGAATAAATAAAGGTCATCAAAAAAAATTTAATAAGTATATATAGTTATGAACCAAAATGTTTTTGTGTGGTCCTTCATAAGGGTGTTGTAAAGGACGTCTTACTCAGTCAACACGGACAAACACAAATTTACATGTGTTTTGGTGCTTGCTAATTTGCTCTTTTAAGAAAACTGGTCAAGGTGAGACAGGCTTAATGCTATTCATGTGGCTCACTGGTCTTTCGCAAAAGGAGGAGGGGTCTGTACATACAGATGTGCCTTTATGCGTGACTACTTGACCAGGTAAGGTTAAAGTAGTTCCATAAACTAACTGAGCAGGTGTAAATTGTAGATCTTCCTTAATTGTCGAGCGTATGCTCAATAATATGAGAGGTAGGAATTCACTCCATCTAATTACATCAGGCTGTACCATCAATGAGCTTTTAAGTTGTCTGTGGAATCGTTTCACTAGTCCATTTGCTGCTGGATGGTATGAAGTTGTAGTGATGTGATGGATCCCCAAGATGCGCGTAAATTCGTTGAAGAGGTGCGATTGGAATTGTGAACCTCTGTCGGAAGTAACGGTAGAAGGTACACCGAAATTAGAAATCCATCTGTCAAGAAACACGGCAGCAATATTTTCCGCTGAGATGTCTTTTATAGGACATGCTATTGGCCATCTGGTAAAACGGTCCACTGCAGTAAATATGTAAGTAAATCCGTTAGATGGGGCTAAAGGACCAACTAAATCAACGTGGACATGCTGAAAACGATGGTCAGGTAGATTGAATGTTGACGGTGTTGTAATCGTGTGTCTGTGAACTTTGCTACGCTGGCATTGTAAACAATTTCTGGTCCATTCCTTTATGTTCGAGTTCATTTTTGGCCAGACAAATCTTTTTTCGATCAGTCTCACAGTAGCTCGAACTCCTGGGTGAGATAATGAATGAAGACAATCAAAAACTTTTTTCCTATACGCTATTGGCACAAATGGCCTATGTATTCCAGTTGAAGTATCACAAATTACAGTAGAATCAGAATGTGGTATTGGAATACTTTTTAATACTAGACTCGAATTTTGTTTACAAGCAGCAAGGTCATGATCATCAACCTGTAAGCGTGCAATGTCCAACGAATCAATTCCTTTAGTGGAGAAAATAGCATCAATGTTGAAATGTGCCACAACATTTGACTCACCTTTTATGAACTGTATGTTGGTAGAAAATTGAGAAATGTAATCTAACTGTCTAGGGTTAGATCACCACAGGGTCGCCAATTCTGATCCCGCTTAGGTACCATGTGGAGTGGGAATGCCCAAGGGCTACACGACGGACGTATTATTCCAAGTCATCATGTGCTCAAATTCGGTTTTTGCAACTGCAAGCTTGTCCGGTGGTAGACGACGAGGACGTCCCGAAACTGTTTGGCTTTTGGTGATAATTCAGTGCACCACGGAATGCTGGATGGTGTTTTCGCTGTAATCTGGTTTCGTTAACTTTGGAAATTTAGATAAAATATTGGCGAATATGTCGTTCACTGGAGTGTTGATTTTAATACTATTTATATGATAGTGCGATTGAATTCCAAGAACTCGGAGTTTTGTGCACGAATCGATAAGTTTTCGTTTTTTAACATCGACTAATAAGTTGTAGGAGCTTAGGAAATCTGCACCTAATATGGGGTGACGGACATCAGCGATAATAAACACCCAGTTTAGTCGACGTCTAATTCCCAAGTCTAATGTCAAGAGTTGTTCTCCAAATGTTTTTATTTCAGTCTTATTAGCTGCTCTAAATGAATATTTTCCACATTTAGAAATAGGTTTCTTGGCTAGCGTAACTGGGATAACACTGACTTCGGCTCCAGTGTCTACTAAGAACTTGTAGCCTGAAGTTTTGTCGAGAACGTGGAAAAGGTGACTAGTAGCATGACCAGTAACATTTGTCAGTACTACTGTCTGGTTAACACCTTTTGGCGAGGAAAATGACCTGAAAAATTTACAGGACGTAACACACATCCTAGCTTTGTCACAATGCTAACTATGGTACCAACAGATGTCGTCATTTTGGTTTGTTCTTGAGTTATCTCGGTTCTTACTCCCCTGAGAACTAGAGCGAGACTTTCGAGATGTGAGATTGGAAACAATTGATTGTAACGTATCTAGCTTGTTTTCAAGACTGGCAACAGTGCGTGCGTGTTTTGTACGTAAGTCGCTTAATTCAGCTGTTAAGGAAGCTAAGTTCAGAGTTTGAGTGTCACTCGGAGTTTGTGATATCACCTGCACGCAGGGTGTTGTGCCTGGCGTTACTTCTAAAACTTTGTCAGCCATGTTAGCTAGACTCTCTAAATCTAAAGGTTGGTTAGAAGCGCAAAGAATATGCCGGACTACTGTTGGTAAACGTTGCAGCCAAATTTCTCTCAGAAAAATATCACCAACCTTAAAAGGTCCAGCCAACTGACTCATGTCGCGTAATAATTGAGAGGGTGACTTGTCACCTAGCTCGCAATCATGAAGTAATTGTTGTAACTTCTTTTCATCCGAAAGTGAGGTACGTTGAATAATGGCCTGTTTCAACTGATCATAGGCATTTGATATAGGGACATTATCTATGAGGTCTGATACCTCAGATGCTACCTCAGTCGGTAGAATTCCAAGCACAAAAGAGTATTTCGATTCCTGTGAACGAATATTACGACGCTGAAACTGCACTTCCACCTGTGCAAACCATATACGTGGGTTTATTCTACTGAATGGAGGTACATTTATAACGTTTAGAGTGTGTAACTCTGTTCGGTCGTTATTCTGGCTAATGCCTTCAGATTCGTATGAAAACATTACAAATATACAAAAAATAATCACTACCAAGAGAAAAATTAGCGCCGTAATGTTTGTAAGTGAACTCAAAATCACGTCGGGCTCACCAGATTTGTGGTGGACCTCAGCGAAAGAGCTTAGTTAAAATATAACAATGCGCAAAGTTACCAACAATATACCAAGAGAATTAACACTACAAACCTAAGCGTGTGTCTATGATTAACGCAAAAGGTAACAAATTACAGTTAAATTATAAAAAGGTATATTGAGCAACAAAATGGTAACAGTGTTATGAAATGAATGTTACTTGTAAGCTGCTTTCTGAGATAACAACCACAAATAAGTTCACTTGGTTAACAAAGGTTCCTCTGCACGTGATGGCACCAACAGCAAAATGAAGAAGATTAGATCCAGTAGTATTATTCAGTAATGATCCGGGTCAAATCTCCAACGTAGCGTGGAACGGCATAAAAGGATGTTATAACACCATTATAATCTTCAATCAAAGGCCGTGGCCATTAAAGCAGAAGAATAGACGGCAGATTCAACGTTTTTATTTTAAGAATCGCGGTAGTGAAGTCGTGTTATATATAACCAAACAAAAGTATTCGTTTCTTTACCATTGATACAGAAAAACAATAAATATCGAATAGAAGTGTTGTTACATAAAAAGTGTGACAACTAGGAAAAATATGTGATCTTTAATTTGTTGTTACAAAAAATTACTAGATATAAATGTCACTATAACCGTCGTATATTAGGGATTCCATAATTTTGGAAGGTATGGAGAATAACAGTGAACTGCCTGTCGTTCAGACACACAATGACTTAGGAGTCATCATTAGCCAAGACTTAAAAACTACTGCACACTACCGCGTGATAACCTCCAAAGGTTTTATTTTCCTGTGATCAATACGTAAGGTCTTTAGCCTCGTCGATGCTAAAACCATTTTGATTAAATACAGTATTCGTTCGTTCGAAACTCGAGTACTGCATAAAAGCAGTTAACCTCTACCTAGACGGAGGCAACGAGATGTCGGAAGGGGTTTAAAGGACAGCGACTTATCTGATTCCCGGAGTAGCTAAGCTTCTATGTGACGATCGACTAGCTAAACTAGACTTACTTCCACTGTCACATAGAAAGACCGGAGGTGAATTGGCCACAGGTTTAAATAACTTAATGATAAATTTGCATCTGATATGCCCTCACTTTTTTTGTCTTTCAAAATACGGAATTTATTAAGACACTCCAAGAAGTTTCAAAACTTCCGAACGTTACTTGTCGGTTGAATATCAACTTTTCCATCGAATCAGCAACTACGGAATCCACTATCTCAACATCTGGTTGAAACTTCATCTGCTGACGCTTGTATGGGTAACTGATAACATGCAATTATCTTATTTTTCATTTCAAAGTTTGAGTTTTGCATTATTTAGTTTGAATTTAGAAAAAAACTGGTTTTAGACGCTCTCGCTTCAAAATTTAGCGCTCCCTCGCCATGACCTGGATGTTTACTGTGTTAGCGGTTCGTCGGTTGTTTAGTAAAAATGTCATTTTAAGACATTTGAGTGCTGCTAAATCTGTTTCGTGTTCAAGTGCCAGATGTATTTCAACCGTTGAAAGCGCAAGGAAAAGAACTTACGAACCAAATTTGGCTCTTCGTTTTTCTGATAAAACTGGCTTGACTGATATAGATAAATTTCTGCGTAAACAAAGGATTAAAGGTGCTTTGTACAGCTGCGAAGAAAATGAGCAGGCCACAAAAGATTTTTGGGCTCGGATTCTTAAAGGTACAGTGCTCGTTATATTCATGGTAAAGCAGCTGGGGATATGGACTTCGTCGAAAGATATTTATATATGAGAGTCAAATTAGGACTCCGTGTTGACCCAGAAAAAGTCATAAAAGATATGAATGATGCTGGATTAACCCCTAACGCCGTAGGTTCAGTTTATCAAGTAATGTCGCTTAGTGGACATATGCCTCCTTTATTCATCAAAGTTGTGCTGCCGGAGATATGAATCAAACAAAGTACCATGTCAATACATAACTTTAATTTCAGCTTTTACTTGCGTATGCTCCGAAATGCTGGATTCAAGCCCACTCGTTTCATCTTTTCTCAGATTCTACACGGTTACGTGAAAGCTGGGTGAGTGTTCACTGTTTAGACGGTATTTGATTATGATTAGCATTAAATGATATAGGTAGTGTTTTATGCTCTAATTTCGTCGCTTGTTTACTTTTTGGTATTCTTTCTCACCGATTGTATTTCGGGTCCCAAAACATCTTATCATCACATATCTAATCTCCTCTACATCTAACACCGTCGTTGATTTCGTTACTCCGAAATTTGCTTGAGTAATCCAATACCTCTACGGTGACATGATGTAACAACCCAAACTGACGTTCATGTGACAGGTCTTACATTGTATATGGTTGGTTGTAGCTAAAGGGTGATGATAATGTCGTTCAGAAGAACGATGAAAGCCGCACGACCAAACCATCCATCTCAGAGAACAAAACTCCATCAAAACAGTGGAACACGTAGTTATAACGGTCTGAATAGCTCCTAAACAAACCAGCCTTTTTAATTACGGGACTAACGCGCAAATTCAGAGAGGCTGTTTGTGACTGACCTCAAAGAGTTCTTTAGTGTCTGAAGTTACGCTCTCAGATCACAACAACATTCAATAATCTGGTTTCTTGTTCAGGTACCTCACGAAGAGCCATCGATCCATGGTGTGGGTAATCGTAGAGTAGCATCTGTCTTCTCGTCTCAAACAGTGCTGGAGTTCATGTTCACTCTCTAATCTCTTCGTCACTTGATATTGTTCCATTATCAATACTTCCTCGTGGCTTTATCACCATGCACCTCACAATACTGACTATCCGAGCCCACAAGATGTTATTTCTGGTCTCCTGAAACCGCTTTCCGAACTAAGTGTTGAAGCTTTGGGTACCTAAACCTCATATCAAAAAGACTTACTTAGCCATGTAGTATGTTTTGTGCACTGTGCTAATAATTGTTTAGTCTCACATCAATATTATTGACGAAACTTCTATCCTGCACGTTTTCATGCCACACTAACTGGAGAATAGTTTTTAACTTTACATAGCCCAACTACAGTGTATCGATTTTTAGTCAATAAAAATTGATTAGGGTATCTAAACTGAATATTTAATAACAAAAAGATCATAAAAATGTATTCAAGTTCTACTGTGTTCACACTGAATAGTTTAATAACAGAAGTCCAGTCTAATCGATATTGATTCGCTTCTCATAAGTTGTAATTCGACATTAAACATCGTCTGTAACCCTGAAATCCCGCGCGGTTGAGGTCTGTATTTCTAAAATATGCATTCAGGACTCAGGCGTGGTCATTCGCTCCAACTCTTGGTGCAATGTGTTCTTTTCCTAACACCCTTTTTTCTTTGAGGATTACAAGTTGACTTACATCGTGACGAATTGAAGTAATTTTTGTAAATTGTGGTTCATCCACCCCTAGCGTGTTTCAATTTCTTCATTGTGGGTGGGGTGGTGGCTGGTTTGGTCTCTGCCACAGAAGTGGTGAACAATTTTTCAAATTCATCAGAGGGAGGTATTAAAAGTTCGGTAGTTTATGTGGCCATTTCCAAACAGCCTGAATGGAACATTGAAGTGGGCCTACCAACTCTAGTTGAAGTTCCAAAAGCTATAGCTAATCTGAATCGAGTAAGAACAGATAGATTAGCTCCACAGATCTTCAAATGTGGTGGTCCAGTTTTAGCGATAAGTTCGACCGATGTTTTAGCTAAAATTTGGAAGTTGAACGTAATCCCATGTGACTGGTCACAATCATTGGTCGTCCCAACATACAAGAAGGGGCCGAAATCATCCTGTGATAACCATAGAGATATTAGTTTGACTACTATAGCATCTAAAATACTAGCCTTAATAATTATCTGACTCTAAACAAAGACTCGTGAACTGCAAACATGAGAAAATCAGGCTGGCTTCAAACCTGGTCTTGGATGCACCAACCGCATGCATGCTTATTGACATCCGACAATGATGGTTTTTCTTGACTTGAAAGCAGCATTTGACTCTGTAGACGAAGAGGCCCTATGTCAGTGTCTGTCATAGAAAGGTGTACCTCATAGGTAGATAAACTTTGTGAAGGCTCTTTACTGAACACTGCCAGTTGAGTCAGAGCTTATGGCGAACTGGCATCTGATTTTGAAACCTCAAGTGGTGTCCGTGAAGGTTGTCCATTATCTCCATTTTTGTTCAACTTCATCATAGACCTACTGCTGAAAATAACGTTCTCGTCGACTGGATTTTCGGCATTGATCTTTCAGGAGGTCCGCTTATCGACGTAGAAAACGCAGATGACATAGTCCTGTTTGGTGGAGACGCTGGTAAAATGAAGTCTTTTGGTAGGATTGGATAACAATGCAAGGATGTTTGGGATGCATTTCTCCTCCTCTAAATGCAAGTTGTTACTCCAGGACTGACCTGCATCAACATGATGAACACAAAATTCATAGTAGTTACTTCAATGATAGTAATGTATAAAAGACAGATTGTATCTGAGGTTTTAGTAAAGGCAGAAAGAAAGATATGAAGCGCGTGGTAATCGGTGATCAGGCACACGTAACACGTGGCCAAACCAGTTCAGTCGATGAAGATTTACAACCTCAACAACTGATTTACCATCATTCCCTAATATCCTGTGTCTGATCTAACTATTACTTACTCGGTGATCCCAGTAGATGTGAGCAATATTTCTAAGACATTTGTCATCAGATACTAGTAGCTCACGATTATCTCCTACTCCTAATGGCCACGTTTCGCAGCCGCAAAGTACAAGAGAGCGAATTACTACGCAGTATACTTGTCCTTGTACGCAGTATACTTGATAGACAGATATTTCATCTTCGCCATAGGTGACGTAAGCTGGCAAAAGCCAAACGAGCTTTCTGAACCGGTGCAGAGATCTCGTCAGACACCAACTCATTAGGACTGATCAGACTTCCAAGATAAGTGAAGTTGTCGACGCGTTCGACTACTTCGCTCCCTATCCTTAGTTCAGGTGTTGACTCAGGCCAGTCCTGAAGCAAGAACTTGTATTTAGAGGAGGAGAAACGCATCGCTAACATCCTGGCATTGTTGCTCAGTGCTACCAGAAAACTATATTTTATCAGCGTCTTCGCACATCCAGCTCTTAGACCTTTCCTATCTAAAAATATCTGACCTTTTTTACAAATCCCTGCTCACATCCATTCATAATACTGTTCTGAAATATATGTTTGTGCATAGCGAACACACAAGTTCATAAGTTTTATTATTACTATGTTTACTGTACTTAAAGTTCTTTGTTTTCCCACTAATTTCATCCTTCTGTGGTGATGAGAAGTCTGATAGACTAGACCTATAATCATATTGATCTAGTCGTGTAGTTTCTTTATATATTTGATTTTGTATGTTTATTCTACCACTATAAGCAACAATGCAGGCATGTTCGGGATGCGATTTTCTCCCTCGAAGTGCAAAATGTTACTTCAGGATTGGGTTGCAGCGACACCTGAACTAATGATAGGGAGTGAAGTAGTTGAGCGTGTAGACCACTTCACTTATCTTGGGAGTCTGGTGTTTGACGAAATGTCAGCACGGATACAGACGGCTCGTCTAGCTTTCGCCAACTTGCGTCATTTATGACGTAGGCGAGATATCCGTCTAGCAACCAAAGGACGGGTTTACTGTGCAGCAGTTCGCTCCGTCCTACTTTATGGCAGTGAAACATGTTGATAAGAGTAGAGGATATTCGTAGGCTGCTAGTATTCGATCATAGGTGTCTTCGAAGCATTGATCGTATATCCTGGGACCACCGAGTAAGTAATGCAGTTGTTAGGAAACGAGTACTAGGTAGGGATGGCAAATCGATTGATGAAGTAGTGAAATTTCATCAGTTGAGATGGCTGGGACATGTGTTACGTATGCCTTTTTTGACGACCGACTGCCCCGACGTGCAATGTTTCATGGTGTAGGAGTAGGTTGGAAGAAAGCTAGGGGTGGCCAGACCAAAACGTGGCACAAATCTATGAAGTCACTGACAAGTGGACTGGGCCATGTTGGTAGGTGTAGACTACCTGGTTGGGATTCGCGAGATGACAGCAACCGATGGTTAGAGACCTTGAATGACATGGCTGAAAATCGTTTGCGATGGCGAAGGTGCATCCACTCTTTGTGTTCTACCAAATTCTAATCTTCTGAATTCCTCATGTCTTTATGTTTTTCTCTTTCCAAATTTATTTCACTGTATTATACTCCTTCAATAATTTCTTCAAACCCTAATCTTTTGGATTTCTGATTATACTCCTACTACTTCTACCACTATGGGATTTGAATCGACAACAGAATCTCTGTGCTAATGTGGTATGGCAACTCGAACTGATGTACGTACGTACGAAGTTCTACGTTGTGACTGACTGACTGAAAGATAAAACTATTTGTTATTGTCTTCACTCCTAACAGTATATATATAATTCAGTCGCACCATCAACTGGTCTTTCAACGGAAGTTCTATAGTGAACGAGAACACAAGTGGGGACAATCGCATGTATTTGAATACAAAATTGCATATTCTTTTGGTAAAATCTGAGAACCATACAGTCAATTCATTTTAAAAATGTCAATTGATTGCCTCACACTTAACTGTTCCTCCTGAAAAATGTCAATCGATCGTCTCATTATTTATTCATTTAAACACAAATATTGGTACAAAGAGGCACCATATATATATGCGCCACACAAACCTCATTTGATTTGTGTAAGGGCTGTGATACTGCCAAGGTGCCCACATTGAAGCAGGTGATTTTCTTAGGGGGCCTAACCCCGAGCCTTTGTCCTAAAGGCCTAATCCACAAGGCAGTGGAGCATCGTAAGGAGATGCAGTCCCATGGTAGCCGGTGACAAACGATTGATTCATGCGCCATTTGTTCCCTCAGGATACTGGAGCCCATGTGAACCGTTGGTCTGGAATCAGGGTTTTCCAATTCCCCTAGATGAATCCTCCACATCCACCAACCCGATTAAAGCGCTGGACATTCGTTTTTCGTCCTTTCAATTTCGTAAACAACACCCGTACCGTGAGAAGACAGTGAGTAAGACTTCCCTGGTAGAAGCTGTATACGCGTCGCCATGTGAGAGCATTTCGTGAGGGAGAGCTAACTCTCGACCGTACCAGGGCATTTGGGGGCATACTTCATTGTTCTTTCGTTTCCACACTAATGATTTTTTCCCCTTCAATCTTCTTGTCCTTTTGCCATCAGACATTTCACTTTCTATTGATGTTGCATACTACTTATATCTGTCTACATCCGTAGCACACATCACAGTTCTACTAGTCGATCTTACCTTTAGAGTGGTACAATCCATCGTGCCTCAATTGAAGTGTTATGTCGGTCTACAAACATACCATCTTAATTTTAATCGTTTACATTTTATCCACATGATTATTTCCACCTCCATGCTAAAGCTCCCAACCTCAAGCCACTCCTGCCTAAGATATTAGTTATGATCACCATTCAAATATATTTATTTATCAAGTTTTAGTAATATTTACGTGTTCTCGTTGTGCTTTTATGCCCGGCTTTCAACACGTGATTTATTCAGCAGTCGAAATACGACTTATTCAATCTTAGCAGTGTGTCAAACCAATGTCGTTCAACCGGTATAAACAGCCTAGCGTCTTTATTCGTCCTTTATCCGCCTAGCCCTTCCAGTTGAGTCCAGAACACCAATGACAGCTTCTGTTATGCGAATCATTTATTTCAAGCATACTCTGATTATATACCAGACAGACAGACCGCATCACATCGTAAAATAGAAAATAATATTTGTACAAGATCAAGCCAAATGTGGCTGTGAATGTAGAAGACGGTAATAAATAAACCGAACATAATTTGTGGACAGTAAATCGTATAATAATAATTGATAGATCAGAATGAAGCTTATAATAAGATGAATATAGATATTCATAATCTAGTTACTGAGCATATATATATATATATATATTGATCCATCAATAGAATTCAGAATTTACGCGTAATTTAATCTTCACTAGGATATAACAGTTCTGAACACTGAATAGAATTGTTTGAAATACCTTGGTTTTATTTTAAGTTAATTTGTGTTCTTTAAACTTCAAAACAACCTTTCAGATTACCTGAGGAAGTTGCTTCTACGCAGGAAATACTATCTCAAATGGGTTTGTGGCCATCGAAGTTTGCCTATGAAGGCCTTTTGTCCGCTTACGCTGATATTGGTGACAAAGACAGTTTATTACGAACTCTGGATGAGGCTTACACTGTACTCCCTTCAATAGAACACAATAAGACAACAGAATCCCGTCAAATCTCACCTGTTTTACTTTTGGATTTGTACACAAGATTGGTGTGTTCGTTGGGGTATACCAATGCAACGTGCAGTGAGGTATTGGATCAAATTATTGTTGTAGATATTTAAACTTGGTATTTTATTCAGTTAAATTGTAAGTCGAGTCAAACTAAAATGTAAAGATTTTTTCCAAATTATATTAATTGTTCAACATACTACCATAGATGTCACTTCATACAATCTACAACTTGAGTGACACTGAAGCAACCAGAGTTCACATTTTATCAGCTAAAAACTTTCTAAACAATAAATTTCACCTCATAATAATAAAGTAACTTGAAAAGCCGAATTGAAGTGATTTTTTTGTGAAAACATGTAATGTCCCATGAATTTCTGCATTCAGGATTGTGTGGGGGTAAACAGGTGAATGTAGATCAGGTTCTCGTTTTTTTTTAATATAACAAAATGCATTAAATTCACTTAGTATTGTCTGTTTGAATCTTCTCATTAATGTTTAGGACTGCAGCTGGTCAGTCTCTTATTGGCATATGTGTATACTGTTCGTATTGCCTCGATATAACCTTATTTCACAAGCATTATAAGCAAAGATGAATAGTGGCTAGCAATGGAATCCAGTATGACGCGCGTTTCGTCCCATTTGGGACTCTTCTGCTGGATAATGCGATGGCGTTTGAAGCTAAGGGTACTGGGTTCGAGTCCCAGAGTGAACATGAACTTTCAGATGCAGGTATATCCAGCTGACGAGTCCCATATAGGATGGAATGCGCGTCCTGGATTCCACTGCTAGCCACTATCCATCTTTGTTTTTAATATGCATTAAATCTTCTAGATAGTGTGACTCTCAACTGTTTACCCAGCTTCTCTCTGCACTAATATAGTTCTGTCCCCTCAGTCTTGATTTTGTGCAATTTGTAATACCACTCATCATATTTCGACCAAGCTCTATTCAATAGCCTATTCAAGATTGTATCAAACTGTTGATAATTTGTTCCTCATATTTTTATTTATTAACCTACAGATTTCAACAAAATTACTTACAATGAAAGATAATTTTCCGTTTGAGTTTGCTGTTGACACTGTCAAAATACTCTTAGCGAAAGGACGCCCAGCTGCTGCTCTGGAAATTTTTAAAATAATAGACAATTATCCAGAACACCATGAATATTTATCTAAATTGGCTCTTTATGCTGCTGCTGGTGGTTTGGTTAGTCACATTTATATATAAATATATATATACAATATATATATATACTACACAGTCCAAGCGTTCTCTTCAATTTCGCCCTCGTAGCGGTTACGCTTTATCAGCTGGTTGGTTTACTCGTGGAACTTTTATTGTTCTGAATATTAGCACAAACTTCAGGCAGGATTAGGAGCGACGTATTCAAATTTCTCTGACTGATAACTTGTCCTGTCGACCTTGATCTCTTAAATACACCCGTTACCCCTGGTGGAGAAAATGGGCCTTCCACGCACGACTTTTTAGTGTAGTCTGTCGTATGAATTTCGAATTATGTTGACTATCTTCTCAGCTACTTACTCCACAGTGTCAAAGACGGTGCCATAAGATTCTCCCACACACACCGTCGATTGGTTTCCCATAGCCAGAGGAGGTCATGTATAGTGAAGAGTTCCATTAAATTGATTACCCAAAAATGATAAGTAATGTCGTGATTCGGTCTGTGAACGACCGATCCTCACCTAATCCAATCTGATTTTAACGAATTTGTCATGTACATGAGGCAGTAGCTCCAAAGGATATTATTATTTCGTCGTCATTGATTTAATTTTATGGTTTGGACGGATGGATTCACTCAAGATTTCAGTTTTGTCTAACTTCCTCCTCTTGATAAGCAAGGAGGATCGGATGCAGATTTAAAGGCGAGGATTAGGAAAGCAAGAACAGCATTTCTACAATTGGAGAACATACAGAACTCAAAACAGCTGTCAACTAATTTCAAAGTGAGAATCTTCAATACGAACGTCAAGACAGTCTGTTCTACTGTACGGAGCTGAAACGTGGCGAACTACTACATCCATCGTCAAGAGGGTACAAGTATTTATAAACAGTTGTCTACGTCAGATACTCAACATTCACTGGCCGGATACTATCAGCAACAGAGTTTTATGGCAGAGGACAACCAGCTTCCAGCTGAAGAGAAAATTAGGAAAAGACGTTGGAAGTTGATTGGACATACATTAAGGAAATCACCAATGTGCATCACGACTCGATCCCTAACTTGGAATCCGGAAGGGAAGCGGAAAAGAGGAAGGCCAAAGAACACACTACGCCGGAAATAGAAGCAGATATGAAAAGGATGAATGTTAACTGGAAAGGATTGCCCAGGACAGGGTTGGATGAAGAATACTGGTGGGTGGCCTATGCTCCTCCACGAGGGTTAACAGACGTAAGTGGTCCTGATAAATTGTATGTTAATTTTCCACGGAATGATTAAATTGGACGTAGTGGTGCGTTAGGCTTGTGTAGTTTCAGCGTGACATAAAATTGAAAGAGAATTGATCCATTGATTTTCATTCGCAATTTGTCTTATTTTGATTTTAGTCTTGCTTTGGCAAGCTTTCTTGAAGCCCTTCAAGTCTGTTTGTCCAACTTTTTATTGGATTTGTGTCCGTTGTTTGTATATGTTTATAACCTCAAGTAGCTCATCAACTTTTCATTCATTATTCATAATTACTTTAGTGTATCTTTTATTTTCTAGGACTATGACATTGTCCCTTCATTTTGAGTTTCTCCATGGTATTTCTTGTGCTCTCAGTTGGATGTCGTTTTTCTCCCATTATGTTTGATGTGCACTTGTTTATCTTATTTCTTGTCGAATGTCTTCATTTGTTTCTGTTTTTATTCACGACTTTAGTGTAGCAAAGATTTGTAGTTTTAGAGCGTCATTAATGATCTATTTCGATCCCTTTAGTAGATCATGTTAAAGGTTATTTTGTCAAGTTGATTACATAACTGCTCTTTTTGGTGGCCTTGGAATGCTGGTAATTCTCTCCTTGAAGCTATTTCTTGTTTTGTGTCATTTTCTGGATATTTCAATCAGGATTGTCAAGTGTTTTAATGTGAATATCCCCTCTAACTTCTTTTGATCCCAGATTTGTTTATCTATTCACTTCGAAAAATGTCTTCTGAGTCATTGTTTGTTTCATCTCCATGCCTAACACTAAATATTTATATTTTCACCCCACCTGTATTTTACCAGGAACACGAAGCACTAGAACCTTTCTGGCATGTAGCTAGTATGGATGGGGACGAGCTGTATATGCTTAGAAATAAATCTAAATTGTGTAAGTAATATTGTTTGTATTGTTCATATTTGTATAAATATAACCATATTGGACTTCGTCCTGTTTAATAGACAGAATCATCTACCTAATTGTTTGCACTCCTAGAATACAGTGGTGTTGAGTGCCGTTGGAGGTATGAGGGCAGTTATCACTTCCCGGTTGCCCACACCGTGGAAGGATTCTTCTAGAGGTACCTGAAAAGGAAATTGGGTTAGAAGTGGTCTTAATGACCTGAGAGCGTGACCGCAGTGCCCAAGGGACAACTACTTGAGGTCGGTCACACACGACCTTTTTGTGGGTAGTTTTTGTGTTAGCTCCGTACTTGATGGGACCTTACCGCCGAAGACGGATATCCGTGGGATAAGGCGAGGTGTGCATTTTTAGGGTCGACCTTTTCTAACCCCACCCCTCATTGTGGGAAGGCAGCATCGCTGTCATGCTGGTTATCTGAAGGAAACACCTTACTGCTGTCACACCTCTGTACAGTCAGCAGTACGACTTCGGACCTTGGAATTGCTGCTTTTAGTCTCACCGCTTTTCAACCGACCTGTCTGGCATGTGAGGACCTTGAGGAACAATTGTTCCATACATTTTCTGTTTTTCTTTATCTTAGACATCCGTATATTCACGTGTCCAAGCATTTTAGCCAGGTAATTTTCAAGGCCATCATTTGCATAGGTCGCAAGAAGTCTTAAAAAGAAAATTGTCTGTTTCATAATTCTTGTTTAGTTTCATAATTATCACTGTAATTACTGTCGTGAATCATAAACAAACTTGTTTAATTCACTCAACATTTCATCCATCAAATTAATTCTTGGATAACATTTTGATTTTGATTCTGTTTATTCATCTAAATAAAAGTTCTTTCTTTAGATTTCCGTCGGACAGGTAAGTTTTCCAATAATTTGGGCGATCGACTTCAGGCCTGTATCGACGAGAACAACGTACAAGGTTAGTTATTTAACATAATGTATAAAACTATTAAAAATAACTTGCCGTCAGATTAATTCACTACAACTTACTTGCTTACGCCTGTTACACCTCGTGGAGGAGAATAGGACACCCACCAGCATTCCCTATCCAACTCTCCTGGATAATCCTTTCAGTCACTACTCATCCTTTTCATGTCTACTTCCAATTCTCAACACACTGTGTTACTTGGTCTTCTTCCTTTCCGTTTACCTTCAGGATCCTAAGTTAGAACTTATCTCGTGATGCAGTTTGATGGTTTACCTAATGTATGTCGTATCCACTACAAACGTCTTTTCCTAATTTCCTCTTCAATTAGAAGCTAGTTTGTTTTCCCCCATAATAGGCTTTTGATGATGGTATCCGACCAATGGACATTGAGTATCTTGCGTAGACAATTGTTTGGAAACACTTGTACATGTTTGATGATGGTTGTAGTAGTCGTTCAAGTTTCAGCTCCACACAATTTGACTGTCTCGATGTTGGTATTGAAGATTGTGATTTTGATATTGGCTGACAGTTGTTTTGAGTTCCATATGTTGTTCAACTGTAGGAATGCTCCCCTTACTTTGCCAATCCTCACCTTTACGTTTGCACCAGATCTTTCTTGTTGATCGATGATGTTTTCCAGGTACGCGGACGTTTCCACTTGTTTCAAAGTTTCTGCATCAAGTGTGGTTGTGTTGGTATTCTCTGTGTTGTATTTGAGGATTTTGCTATTCCCTCTCTGTTTATCTCGACCTGCATTTGTTGGTGTGTATGGGATAGAGCAGCCAGGTCATCTGTAAAGTCGAAATCATCTAGCTGCATTCAACCTGCTCTTTTTATTCCGTGTATCCTCTCAGATGTGGGGGTTTTCATAATCTAGTCAGCCACCTAAGGAAAGAGAAAACAGCCTTACCTGACACCGGTCAACATTTGAAGTGCATATATCTGCTGTCCTCTATGCCCGAATTTGTAGTGTAGTCAGTCTTATAAATTTCGTATACTACAAATTAACAATAACCTAAATAGAATAATCATTCTTTGTTACACTTGTCAATCAGTCAGCTACAACGTAGAACCAGGCACATATATGCACCGGTCGAAGTTGCCATACCTCGTTAGCACAACAAAATGAACACCGGATTCATAGAAGTAATTAATTTAGTGGTGGTAGTAGTATATAAATTATAGGTTGTATATAAGGATATAGTATAGGAAGGAAGAGAGATATGAAGCAATTTTAGTCTCAATGTTTAAAGGAAGATAAAAAGTGTATACACCTACGCCATTGTGATCGATTCTGAGCCATGTTACACAGAGTCTCCAACCATTGGTTACGATAGTCACGCGGACCCCAACCAGGTAATCTGCATCTGCCAACATGGCTCAGACTAGAAGTTAATGACTTCAAGCACTGATGCCATGTTTTGGTTTGGCCGTCCCTAACTCTCTTCCAACCATCCCGAATACTAGTCATCATAGCGCGTCGTGGTAATCGGTGTTCAGGCATACGTAACATGTGGCCCAACCATCTCAGTCGATGAAGATTCATCACCTCATCAACTGATTTACCATCGTTCCCTAATACCTTGTGTCTAACCTCACTATTACTTACCCGGTGATCCCAGTAGATGCGAGCAATATTTCTGTGGTCAAATACTAGTAACCTACGAGTATCTTCTATTCTAAATGGCCATGTTTCACAGCCGTAAAGTAGAACAGAGCGAACTGCTGCGCAGTATACTCGTCCTTTAATTGATAGACGGATATCTCGTCTTCGCCATAGGTGACGTAAGTTGGCAAAAGCCAAACGAGCTTTTCGAATCCGTGCTGAGATTTCGTCAGACACCAACCCATTAGGACTGATCAGACTTCCAAGATAATTGAAGTTGTCGACGCGTTCGACTACTTCACTCCCTATCCTTGGTTCAGGTGTTGACGCAGGCCAGTCCTGGAGTAACAATTTATATTTGGATGGGGAGAAACGCATCCCAAACATCCTGGCATTATTACTGAGTTCCAACAGAAGACTGCATTTTGCCAGCATCTTCACCAAACAGGACTATGTCATCTGCGTATTCTAAGTCGATAAGTGAATTTCCTGGTAGAAGATCAATTCCTGAAAATTCAGTCGCAGAGAGTGTTATTTCCAGCAACAGGTCTATAATGAAGTTAAACAAAAATGGGGATAGTGGACAGCCTTGTCGGACACCACTTGAGGTTGTAAAATCATATGACAGTTCGCCATAAGCTCTCACTCGACTAATAGTGTTCGAGTAAAGAGCCTTCACAAGGTTTATGTACTTCTCAGATACACCTTTCAATGACAGACACTGCAATGTTACACTTGTACCATAGTTATTCGCTTTCTTCATACATTTATGTTCATTGTACTGTTTTTATTCGGTGAATCCTCATCAAAGTAGAGCCTTGGAAACATGTGCGTTGATTGAATTCGTCATACCATATTAGCACGTCAAGATGTAGATAACAAAAAAATGAATATCCCAAGCCATTCCTCAGAAAGTCTCCGACCACTACAACGAACCACCTAAAGCTATTTCAACTCTTTTTAGCCACTCAAAATAAGAAATCTGGTATCAGTGAAACAATATGTAAAGCTGATTAAACACCAGTTAGTAATAATCAAATACATCTCGAACGATGAGCAGAGTTTTCAAGAAGCAGTATATCTGTTCTGTTGCCTCATAGTCATCGATTAGTCTTTACTGTCTTTGAGATGGTGGAGAAGATTTGTAGCTCAGGTGGGTGATTTTGATGTTGGTTTGTTCTCTGAGCTGGACCAAACCATCCAGCTCAGAGAACAAACCAACATCAAAGTCTTTACTGTCCTTTTAGAAACGTGGCGAACCTCTGATTGGTTTCTTGAGAAACGCAAAATTTTGAACTCAAGCAAAAGCCCTACCTATCTTTGAAAACGGCTTCGTCATCTAATCAATCACTATCAGAGTCTACTTCCGATCGCGTACTAATGATTAGCTCACATCATACCGCCCAGGTTGATCAAAATTCATGGGACACTGACAGGTGCAGGCAAGATGGTCTCCGTTCTGGTCCTAAAAGACAACAGTCACATTTACCCTGTGCCAAACGTTAGAACATTGTCGTACTTATTGTACGCCAATAACCGTTGTGCTTCTTGATATCACGGTCACCTTTGTTTTGTTGGACGGGACTGCTCTCTAGGATCATCTGTTTAAAAAGTTATTATTATTTATTTATTTAAATACATAAATATTGGTACAAGGAAGCACCAGATAAATATGCGCCTCACAAATCTCATTCGATTTGTGTGAGGGCTGTGATACTGCCCAGGTGCCCAGACTGAAGCAGGTGGTTTTCTTAGGGGGCTACACCCGGAGCCTTTGACCTGAATGTCTGATCCACAAGGCAGTAGAGCATCGTGAGGAGATGCAGTCCCATGGTAGCCGGTGATCAACGGTTGATTCGTACGCCATTTGTTCCCTCAGGATACTGGAGCCCATGTGCACCACTAGTTTGGAATCAGGGTTTTCCAACTACCCTAGGTGGACCCTCCATGTCCACCAACCCGATTAAAGCGCCGGACATTCGCTTTTCGTCCTCTCACTTTCGTACACAACACCGCCGCCACGAGAAGGCAGTGAGTAGGACTTCCCTGGCCATATGAGAGTATTTCGAGAGGGAGAGGTGACTCTACCCACTGTCGGCCGTACCAGGGCATTTGGGGGCCTGTTTAAGAAGGGTATGTCTGAGAGATTTATTAATATCTTGAAGGATTGGTATACAACAACTCAAACACAAAAATGATATACAACCACCTCTCTGCATTGTTCCATTCCAACAGTAGAGTTAGCCAGGAATGGTTAGTTTCGTCATTCCCCCACAACTTTGCCATCGATGACATTCTGAAAGCGTTACTCATGGAAGTAGGTAGTAGTAGTAGTGTGGATCAGTTTTATGGGAAAACTTTTCTGATCTTGAGTATACGAATGATAATGTTTAACGGAGTGATGATACTTAAGCTACGACAGTTTACGATTTGGTATAGTGAAATGGCGCAACTCAGTGACCTCAGATTTTTCTGAAACCGCTGACGATCCCACCGTAATCTTTTTTACATTCCTCGCAAAAGTGAGAGGAATAAACCAAACTAAAAGAAGTATTTCTGGTTCGATTTTCAACTGAATTATATATTTTAAGATATACTATTAATGATCAAAAACTGTGTGACAGTAACTAGATTTGACGCACATGTGTCAAGTTCTACTTTGCACATAACTGACTGGTGAGAACCTCCAAGATAAATTTTTAAAGGAGTAGCGTATAGTTTCTGTCTGAGAAAATCTACCCATTGCATTAATCCGACAGGGATGTATTTTTTTAATGTGAGAAAATGAAAAGCGGAACCGAAATCTTTGTTGTGTACAAAAGATACATGTAGAGGAATTTACAAACCCTTATCATTCACTATGTTTTTCCCATCACGCAAGCTTTAATCCGAAAAATATTTTTAAAATCCTGTAGCTTGCGTTCCACAGCTGTAATGTAATACGTTGAGAGCTGACTTCTGTGACAGAAATCCTGCTTACACTGCTTATAACGTATGTTGTTCAATATGATTTGAGATTTATAAATTTTTATAGAGATTTTGTTAGATATCAAACTACCTGGGCAACAGTAGACTGACACCTAAGGTAATTGGCCTTGAGAATCTTGTCTGCACCTACTTTACTGTTCTGATTATTGACAATATGTACTCTCATCATATTTGTTTGAATTCTTATGTAAGTATTTGGTTGATTTTGTGTTGATATTCACTTGTTGATACATTAATTCTTTTACTTCCTTTTTAAACCTAACTTCTTTATTCACTGTTATACTCAATTACAGTGTAAAAGTTTCTTATTATGTTCACTACTTTTTCTGTAGGTGCTCTTGATTTATTGAAAGATCTAAATAAAACGAACATTACATTAGCGTATACATTATTTGTACCAAAATTAATGTCCTTGGGCATTTCTTTACAGGACTTATTGAAACAAACCGAGGTACGTTTTATACATATTATTTTTATTAGTCTTGAATAAATCTTACTCTACGAGTATTCATCAATATTCGGGCGAAAATCGGTCGCCGAATATAGAATAGCCATTATATGTTGAAATTATATTCAAATTAATCTCAGTGACTAAAATTTAAATAATTTTGATATTGATTATTGGACCCTATCACCAGATCCTACTAATCTACTCAAAGGGGAGGTGTTAGCGGGACATAGATTAGATTAAAGCATGTTTCATGCCTGATAGTGTTGCTGCATGCTGATTGGCTGATTCTTATCCAGTCAGCTCTAGTCATTGCTTGGAGAAGACTGTAGAAGCTTCTCATGTAAAATCTATAAGTATACTAACGTAGTTCTTATTGCGCTTCCTACTTCATCCATCCTTGTTATTTAGAATATAATTTCTTCCCTGTTCAACCGTGTTCTGATTTGGGGACTTGTCGAGTGTATTGATGTCCAAGAATACTAAGCAATAGGAATAGCTGAGTCGTAATAAGGAAGATATATATTAAATAGTTATAACAGAATCAAATCTCAGTATGTATGTGTATGAGTTTCAATATAAAGTTATTTTTATGATACATAAAGTTATATGAAGATCTTTAATGCGTTATCCAACAAGAGACAAGTCCAATTCCATCGGTTTGAGAAACTGGGTAGTACTACCAAACCTTGCCAAGTGTATAAATTTGCGCTTCGTCAATTAGTTATATCTAATTATTAAGTCTGTTTCAGCTAGTTCAATATGTCTAGGTATTTAGCTTCATGTATGTGTATCTCCATATCAGAGTATCATGAAGATTAATACCTGATCATGTTAATGCACAGATCAAATCGCAACTCTACGTATAATTGTGGAACAATCAATCGAATGGAATTCATCACTCTACATCAACTTCATCGACTACGAGAAGGAATTTGATAGCGTGGACAGGATGACACTATGGAGGCTTCTTCGACACTACGGCGTGCCTGAGAAGATAGTCAATATAATACGGAATTCCTATGATGGACTAAACTGCCAAATCGTCTACGGAGGACAACTCACCGACTCGTTTGAAGTAAAGACTGGTGTAAGGCAAGGTTGCTTACTCTCACCCTTTCTTTTTCTCCTGGTGATCGACTGGATTATGAAGACGTCAACATCTAGAGGAAAGCACGGAATACAGTGGACAGGCAGGATGCAGCTTGACGATTTAGACTTCGCGGATGATCTGCCTCTTCTATCACAAACGCAACAACAAATGCAGGAGAAAACGACCAGTGTAGCAGCAGCCTCAGCAGCAGTAGGTCTCAATATAAACAAAGAGAAAAGCAAGACTCTTCGATACAATACAATATGCACCAATCAAATTACACTTGATGGAGAAGCTTTGGAAGATGTGGAAACCTTTACATATCTGGGCAGCATTATCGATGAACACATTGGATCAGATGCAGATGTGAGGGCACGGATCGGTAAAGCAAGAGCAGCATATTTACAATTGAAGAACATCTGGAACTCAAAACAACTGTCAACCAACACCAAGGTTAGAATTTTCAATACAAATGTCAAGACAGTTCTATTGTATGGGGCGGAGACGTGGAAAACTACGAAAGCCATCATCCATAAGATACAAGTGTTTATTAACAACTGTCTACGCAAGATACTTCGGATCAGATGGCCAGACACTATCGGCAACAAGTTACTGTGGGAGACAACAAACCAGATTCCAGCAGAAGAAGAAATCAGGAAGAAGCGTTGGAAGTGGATTTTGCACACCTTGAGGAAATCACCTAATTGCGTCACAAGACAAGCCCTCACATGGAATCCTGAAGGTCAAAGGAGAAGAAGAAGACCAAAGAACATATTACGCCGAGAAATAGAGACAGGCATGAGAAGAATGAACAAGAACTGGATAGAGCTAGAAAAGAAGGCCTAGGACAGAGTGGGTTGGAGAAAGCTGGTCGGCGGCCTATGATCCATTGGGAGTAACAGACGTAAGTAAGTAAGTAATGTTAATGCATGTTCTGTTTGGCCCCCAAATGCCCTGGTATGGTCGAGAGTGGAGAAAGTTAGCTCTCCTTCTCGAAATGCTCTCACATGGCCACGCGTATACGGCCTCTACCAGGGAAGTCCTACTATTTGTATTCTCACGGTAGAGGTGTTGTTTACGAAAATGAAAGGATAAAAAGCGAATGTCCGGCGCTTTAACCGGGTTGGTGGACACCGAAAGTCCACCCTGGGAATTTGGAATACCTTGATTCCAGACCAACGGTACACATGGGCTGCAGTATCCTGAGGGAACAAATGGCGTATGAATCAATCGTTGGTCACCGGCTACCATGGGACTGCATCTCCTTACAATGCTCCACTACGTTGTGGATTAGGCCTTTAGGGCGTGACCCCCTAAGAAAATCACTTATTTCGGTCTAGGCAGTATCCCAGCCCTCACACAAGTTGAATGTTTTATGTAGCGCATATCTATTTGGAGCCTCCTTGTACCAATGTTTATGTGTTTAAATAAATAAAATGTTCTGTTAAGATTCTCATACGATTCAGTTTTAATAGGGAATAATTTCGTTGGTCACAATCACCATAATTCCAATTTCAGCGATACTATCACAAATTTTTACTTGGGTGAAATTTGTTTTGATTGCCTTTTTATCAGAGTACATTTTTTAATATACCTTCATTATTAAGTGATATTATGTAATACAAAACGTTGATCCCGTTTTGTCTAGGTCATTTTTGGTTATCGAAAGTTGTTGTGTTATAATTCTATTATATTGTAATATTCTTAGAAGAGATTAATAACATTCTTTAATTTGGTAAGCAAAAATGGATAGTGGCTAGCAGTGGAATCCAGGACGTGCGTTTCGTCCTATTTGGAACTCGTCAGCTGGATGTACCTGCGTCTCGGAGTTGATGTTCTCTTTGTGACTCGAACCCAGTAACTTTCGCTTCAAACGCCATCGCGTTATCCACTCGGCCACTGATTCCTGATAGCCACTTGCTTGCGCAATAGGGTGAAGTTGAAATTTACTTAGTATTTTATTTATTTATTTATTTAAAAGGTACAAAAGGGCACCAGATACATATGCGCCACACAAAATAATGAAAGTAGGAAGAGAAGGGATGAAAAGATAAGGCGGACTGAAATGTACAACCAGAAGACTTTCAGTTAAGAAAGTTAGAACCATTCTTTATGTAGAAAGTAAAAGAAAGTTGCAGCAGGATCGCCACTGGCTTCTATTCTGAGCCATATCTGATAACGTCTCTAGCCACTGTGTTGCACCATCTCTCGGACCCCAACCAGGGAGTCGTGAAGAACCAACAGAAGCTAGTCCTCTGCAGCTTTCTTTCATTAGCACGCTCCGACCACCAGGCTTCTCTGTCCTTACGCAAGCTTTGCCCGATTTCATTACGTAACAGCCTTCGTTTGTTGTCAAACTCACGGTCACCCGGAGTAGACCGACGGGCTTCGATCAGTTGTAAGGAGCCAGAAAAAACCCAGTGCTTGTAAGCGGGACGTTTCGCGAAGCCGCAAGCGGCTTTACTCGCCATTTTCATGGCGTCGTGAAGATGCAATCCTTCGGCCACTGAAAAGTAAGGTGAGATTGGCGCAGACCAGGGCATGATCAGACTCCAGATAGGTACTCCAAAAGGAGCGTCAGTCTTGTACACAGCCACGCCAGCGGTAGCTGATCGCGATGTGATCAATCTGAGTCCAGGCTTAAGATGCAGATGCAGGACGCCAGGTGGCACAACGGCGATGACTGTGCCGGAAGTTAGTGATAGCCAAAAACAGGTTGTGGTCTGTGCACAGTTACAGCAAACGGTTCCCGTTATCTGTCCTGCGACCAACAAGTCCCCATCGGCCACCTCAGTCAGTCAGCTACAACGTAGGACCAGGCACATATATGCATCGGTATATAAATTATAGGTTGTATATAAGGATATAGTATAGGAAGGAAGAGAGATATGAAGCAATTTTAGTCTCAATGTTTAAAGGAAGATAAAGAGTGTATGCACCTACGCCATTGTGATCGATTCTGAGCCATGTCACACAGAGTCTCCAACCATTGGTTACGATAGTCACACGGACCCCAACCAGGTAATCTGCATCTGCCAACATGGCTCAGACTAGAAGTTAGGGACTTCAAGCACTGATGCCATGTTTTGGTTTGGCCGCCCCTAACTCTCTTCCAACCATCCCGAATACTAGTCATCATAGCGCGTCGTGGTAATCGGTGTTCAGGCATACGTAACATGTGGCCCAACCATCTCAGTCGATGAAGATTCATCACCTCATCAACTGATTTACCATCGTTCCCTAATACCTTGTGTCTAACCTCACTATTACTTACCCGGTGATCCCAGTAGATGCGAGCAATATTTCTGTGGTCAAATACTAGTAACCTACGAGTATCTTCTATTCTAAATGGCCATGTTTCACAGCCGTAAAGTAGAACAGAGCGAACTGCTGCGCAGTATACTCGTCCTTTAATTGATAGACGGATATCTCGTCTTCGCCATAGGTGACGTAAGTTGGCAAAAGCCAAACGAGCTTTTCGAATCCGTGCTGAGATTTCGTCAGACACCAACCCATTAGGACTGATCAGACTTCCAAGATAATTGAAGTTGTCGACGCGTTCGACTACTTCACTCCCTATCCTTGGTTCAGGTGTTGACGCAGGCCAGTCCTGGAGTAACAATTTATATTTGGATGGGGAGAAACGCATCCCAAACATCCTGGCATTATTACTGAGTTCCAACAGAAGACTGCATTTTGCCAGCATCTTCACCAAACAGGACTATGTCATCTGCGTATTCTAAGTCGATAAGTGAATTTCCTGGTAGAAGATCAATTCCTGAAAATTCAGTCGCAGAGAGTGTTATTTCCAGCAACAGGTCTATAATGAAGTTAAACAAAAATGGGGATAGTGGACAGCCTTGTCGGACACCACTTGAGGTTGTAAAATCATATGACAGTTCGCCATAAGCTCTCACTCGACTAATAGTGTTCGAGTAAAGAGCCTTCACAAGGTTTATGTACTTCTCAGATACACCTTTCAATGACAGACACTGTCACAGAACCTCTCGGTCTACAGAGTCAAATGCTGCTTTCAAGTCAAGAAAAACCATCGGCCACCTAAACAACTCTCCTCTGTGCCTAGACACCCGACCTGAGCATTCAAGTCTCCGGCTAATACTATAATATCTGTCGAACACGCTTTCTGGAGAAGAACTGTTAACTGGTGGTAAAACTCATCATTGATTGCATCCGGTCTGCAATCTGTTGGGGCATAGGCGGAGATGACTAAAAGACACCTTTTCTCACACCTGTTTCTTCTCACTTTGATGAAACTTTCTAATCTAACAGCACATAACCTACTGTTAATGGGGATCCAATCGATTAGTGCTGCCTCAGCCCTAGCGCTTAGTGCAACGCCTGCCAGACCAGACAAAGATGCCACAGAGTCCCCGGATAAGTGCACGTGAAACAAGCTTTTTGAAGCGACATATGGAGAGCGAATTTGTAGTACTTCACTAGAGTCTTGAATACGGGTCTCGGATAGACAGCAAACATCAACATCAAGACTTTCTAAAGACATAGCCAGCCCCATCTGTTGTCCGATCTGCATTAGTGTGCGAACGTTGAAGGAAGCCAGCTTGGACGGCGTACGTGGTTTCAGAAAGACTGCTTCAGTATTCGTAATCGGTGGAAGCATTCACTTTCAACCAGACAGTGACTGGAGATCGTTTAGATAGAACAGATTTTCCACCGTGGACGAGCTGCCGCATAAGTTGGAAAGGAAGGATACACAATTTGGGAATAAAGGGAGTGAAAAAGCGATGTAGTAAATAATAATAATAATAATAGTGTAAATTGTCTTGCTTCTAATATGAACGAGAATAGTATCGTCAATAGAATTCATCATTTCATTTATTTGTGTGTGGGCTGTGATACTGTCCGGTTGCCCAAACCGAAGCAGGTGGTTTCCTTAGGCGGGCCACACCCCGAGCCTTTGACCTAAAGGTCTGATCCACAAGGCAGTGGAGCATCGTAAGGAGATGCAGTCCCATGGTAGCCGTTGACCAACAATAAGTTCATTCGCCAAACGTTCCACCAGGATACTGGAGCCCATGTGCACCATTGGTTTGGAATCAGGGTTTTCCAACTCCCCTAGGTGGACCCTCCATGTCCACCAACCCGGTTAAAGCACTGGACATTCGCTTTTCGTCCTCTCACTTTCGTACACAACACTGCCGCCACTAGAAGGCAGTGAGTATGACTTCCCTGGCAGATACTATATATTCGCTGGCCATGTGAGAGCATTTCGAGAGGGAGAGGTGACTCTCCCCACTGTCGGCCGTACCAGGGCATTTGGGTCTTCCCGTTGATGTTTTTAGGACTGCAACTGGTCAATCTCTAATTTGTTTATATATGGCAGATCGTATAATTTAAAATGACTAATTTCTAATCATGTTTATTGTATTTTTAGGATAATGAGATAATTAAGGCTTTGCTGTTTGGATATGTATTTCGTGAATTAATATCAATACAATCAACAGACGATTTAAAATCACGTCTAACTAACTGTTCGGAATTAGTGAATGAGTATCGTGCTAAGGAATTACTACCGTACAATGATGTTGTTCGTTTAAACTCCTTTATTTTAGTGAAATTGGTAATTAGTCAATTTTATATTTTGTTTTTGTTGTATGACGTAAAAAAATATCTGGACACATATTGTGCTCTGGGTTAATTGCATTTACATTCCATTAAGTGGAGATACATCTATCAAGTTTTGCATTCAACAACTTTATTTGTATTTCATCAAAGTGTTATCTGATGAACTGTGATGCATGTAGCATAAGTTTTTAATAAGTCCTGTTTTTTATTAACTTCTTATTCGATTCCAATAACTAATGATAGCTCACTTTTTTATGATTGGTTTAATCTATCCTCTCGGAATGCTACATTGGTTTGAAGACTTCGTGTGTAGACGTTATTTGCAATTGCTTTCATTTCCTTATTGTTAATGTTATAAAATAGCACAACCAATCAATTTCCATTGCCATATAAATACTTAATGTCCGTTGGTCGGATACCATCATCAAAAGCCTATTATGGGAGAAAACAAACTAGCTTCTAATTGAAGAGGAAATTAAGAAAAAACGTTTACAGTAGATACGACATATTTTGGGGAAACCATCAAACTGCATCACAAGATAAGCCCCAAATTTGGATCGTGAAAGTAAACGGAAAGGAGGAAGACCAAGTAACACAGTGTGTTGAGAATTGGAAGTAGACATGAAAAGGATGAGTAGTGACTGAAAGGATTATCCACGAGGGGTAGCAGGCTTAAGTAATATAAATATCCTAAGCAGATTTCCTCCATATCTATTCTCATCTAGCAGTTTATGGTATCTTATGGATTATGGTTGAGAGTGTAGTTCTGTTAGTGACTAGCTGAATTCCGTAGCTAATTGAAAAACTTGTTGCTATGTGATTTATTCGATACTAACTTCGACATTCTGTATGAAGACTAAGAATAAGATAGAGGTATAAAAATTCATCAAATTGCAATAAAGATAAACTTATCATTCCATGTTTTATCGTTAGTCACCATCCAATTATTGTGTATCGGTTAGTCAAGCGCTTTTCAAACATTCATAGTAACGTCGTAAAACCTGGTATGTATGTACATCAGTTCTATATGCCATAACCCATTAGCACAAAGATAAAACTATTTGGCCAAAGCAAAGATTAGTACAAGTAGTAGCCTTATCAGTGGCAATATAAAAGATTAAGCATCGAACATGCAGTTCGAGAAAATATGAATGAATGCAATAAAAATGCAAAAGCTCAAAATTTGATGTACGGCATAGGTGAATGCACTTGCGCCATTGCAAACGATTTTGAGCCATGTCATTCGCAGTTTCTAACCACTGATTACCATAATTACGCGGACAGCAACCACTTCTTCCACACCTGTTGACATGACTCAGTCCGACTGTCAATAACTTTTGGGTCTGATACCACGTTTCGGTTTGACCATTTCTTCATTTCGTCAACTTACTCCTGCATCAGACAGCATCTTCCGTCAAGGTGGACGGTGGTTGGGCATATGTAACATGTCCTAACCACCTCAGTTGGAAATCTAGTACCTAATCAATCGACTTGCCATTCCTACCCAGTATCCTACTCTCACACCGAGGCATAGCTCACTCCGTGGTCCCAAATTATATAAACTATGCTTCGAAGTCACCTATATTAGCAAACTGCTGCTCAGTAAACTCGCCTTTTGGTTGGTTGACAGATATCTCACCTACGGCACAAATAGTGAAAGATTGCAAAAGCCAATCAAGCCTCGTGATTTCGTCAGGCGATAAACCATAAAGACTGCCCCACAAACGCCTTGGCACGGGCGGAAGTGGAGAAAGCCTGCTTACCCTCGACATGCTCCCAAATGGTTTCGTGTATACAGCCACTGCCAATGAAGTCCTCGTGGCGATGGTGTTTACGAAATTAAGAGGATGAAGGGCGAATGTCAGGCGCTTTACCTAGGTTGGCGTGTACAGGGATGCCATATCTGAGAGAGTTGAAAAACAGTGATTTCAAACCCATGATGCATACAGGCTACAGTATCCTGAGTGGACTGCGTAAGCAATTGGTAATAGAGTTTTTAAGTTGTTTCAATATTTAATATGCTATTATCATGCTCAGAAGAGTTCTCTTAACTGTTCATTACTTATATGTGAAAAAATTATATTTGAAATAGTCTCAGCGATTTTTTAAGGTATGCGTTTTTCTATTATGAGACGTCGGAATTTATTTTGTTTCCTGACTTTTGATAGATGTTTTTTGTTTTGTTTTCCTAAACCTCAGGTGACAAATATAATATCCGTTTCAGATATTGAAGAGATTGCAAAGTTGAATAAATCAACCGTAATGCATGACGTTTTCGGCATTTTTGGCCGTACACTGTCAAAACGTGCGTTACGTATGTTTTTCATGCAAGTTTTCGAAGCGTTAACGCTATCCCACCTCCGTTCTTTTCATGGCATTCCGAAAAATACTGTAATTCAACTTGTAGCTGATGTGTGCGCTCATCAAGTAAGCAAAGATTATTTCCGTTTTGGTTTGTTGATGGTCGCACCTATACATGATTTCTGCTATATTGGTAATGAATCATTTAAACAATAGAAAAATACACTTGTAACTGAATTTTGTTAAACTTCCCAGTTTTCAGATCATATTATCACTCAATGAGCTATTCTAATGTCAAATCAAAACTGCCTGTTTGTAGTTTTTGTGTATTTCGATTAACATGGGTCATCGTAACGTCTTATTGATATCCTGCAAACGAATACTATCACGTGGAACTGGTCGATAAAGATTAAGTCAAAGCATACCCGACCGTTGCTGCTACGTTGACGTAGTGATCGGGCTTGCCTATCGTGATGAAGCAATCGAGCTATGCTGGCTGGACCACTTTATTCATAATCAGTCTCCTTCAATTCCCACTATTCCTTCTACCTTGACTTTCAACACTAAACTTCCTCCCTCTGTTTCCTCCTCAAGTGTCACCATGGCCAACGATTCTAGTGCGCGAAACGCTGTCCCAGGTCTACTAAAACCTCGCTCCAAACTACACATTGGAGCCTTCAACGTACGTACCCTATGCCAAATCGGTCAACAGGCCTCCTTACCTAGAACCCTAGAATCTCGTACCATTGATGTATGCTGTGTCTCCGAAACACGCATACAGGATCCCAGTGTGGTCATTCACTTGACCTCACCTCGCCAAAATGGACAGCCAACGAAATACACCCTCCGTGTATCTGGCGACCCGTCGGCTAGTTCTCGCGAACTTGCAGGTGTAGGCATAGCACTAAATACAAGGACAGAACAGGCACTACTAGAATGGATCCCCGTTAACAGTCGCCTGTGTGCTGTCCGGCTAAATGGCTCCGTAAGAACTCGTAAGGATAGGGACACACGTCGTTGCCTTTTCGTCGTTTCTGCCTACGCTCCCACCGACTGCAGCCATGATGAAATGAAAGATGACTTTTACAGAAAGCTCTCTGAGCTTCTTCAGAAAGCTAAGCGCTCAGACATAGTAGTCGTAGTGGGTGACTTTAATGCCCAGGTAGGCAGCTTGAATCGAACAGAAAAACATTTAGGTGGGTGTTTTAGTATTCCGGCTCAACGAACCGATAATGGTGATCGTCTGTTGCAACTATCCTCAGACAATCGTTTACTTTTAGCAAGCACTAATTTTAAACATAAGGAGAGACATCGTCTAACATAGCGACCACATGCACCAAACCAACGATGGACTCAAATAGACCATATTGTCATCAGTCATCGTTGGAGAGGCTCAATAGAAGATTGTCGCTTGTATTGGGATACTTGTTTAGACTCTGATCACGCTTTAATACGAGCGCGCGTTTGTCTGCGCAGGAAAAGTACACTAAGAAGACCCATTAGGATTGAACTGGAGGACGAGAAAGCCAAATGCGAATTCCAGAAACAACTGAGTTCACATCTAGGCAGTTCTGTAAACAATACAACAACACACAGATGCTGCTTGGAAAGACATACGAACAGCTGTGGGAACAGCAGTAACTTCTATTAGTCATTTATACCATAGGGCTCCAAAAAACAGTGGATTTCTTCTAAGTCTATTTCACTGATGGATTCGCGTAAACTCATCCCATCAGGCTCTGAACATGACGAAGAGCGCAAAGAAATTAGATGTAGGTTAACTAAAAGTCTAAGGAACGATCGTGAGCAGTGGTGGGCAACGAAAGCAAAAGAGATGGAAAAGGCAGTGGCTGTAGGCAACACCAGGCAACTATTCAGACTAATAAAAGAAACCGGAATTAAGAAGTCAAGTGTAAGTGAGACATTCTCTGAAAAAGACGGAACCCTTATCTGCTTTCAACCCAAACGTTTAGAACTATGGGCGGAACACTTTAAGGAGCAGTTTAGCTGGCCTTCAGCTACTGCACAATTACCCACTATTCCTAGACAACCTGAATGGAACATTGGAGTAGGCCCCCGACCCTACTTGAAGTTCAAAAGGCTATAGGTAATCTGAAACGAGAAAGAGCAGCTGGTCCTGATGGATTGGTTCCAGAGGTCTTGAAATATGGTGGTCCAATTTTAGCGATTAGGTTGACTAATATTCTGGCTAAAATCTGGGAGACGAAGGTAATCCCATCTGACTGGTCACAATCTTTGATTGTCCCAATATATAAGAAGGGGTCAAAATCATCCTGCGATAACCCTAATGCTTTCCATCTGCTTTATTATTTAATTTTTTTTGTATTTGTTTGCCACTCATTTTTTTCTTTTAGGATGTCACGTTTGCTTATGGTGGTTGGATGTTATTGAAATTGAGAGATGCTGATGTACCAACGGTACGTTTCGTGCACATGGATAGTTTATGAATTATATGCATATCCTTGTAATTTGTCACATTTTACATTAGTTAAAATCAATTACCTGTTGTATTTTTTTGTGTGAGACAGTAAGATTGTTGACCTGTGATAAGTAGTATGTCTGTGTTCTGACATTTTAAGAAGTTTGAGGATATGATCGTATCTTTAAAGTAGACTGCATTTGTTTGAATATGTATTTCATGATGACATTTTCTTTTTTCCATTATTCAAGCACATCATGGCGAAACTTTCTTCTAGTCGATCTGTGGCACTATCTTCGTAAGTTTGGTGATTATCTTTAGTTTTTCAAATGCAATTCAAATCGATAAAGCTAGTTATACATCAGTAACTCAGGCTTGATGTTAATATCCACCATCACTTTATTTATGTGTAGGTAGGAATTCCACGTCGGTAGAATACTCGAAGCATTTTGTTTTCATAAGGGCGTTATTCTCTTAGCCCTCATTTCAGGCAACTAATTCACATATCAGTGGGAAAATATCAGGATATCCAGTCCTATTGTGACTGGAAATCGAAGAAGTTTCGTGTGCCATGTTTCTTTTAATACTCATGTGTTTCGAATACTCACATGGCTTGATATCAGGTTATTCCAACTCCTAAAAGGGCCTGTTAATGCATCATCCAGGTTTAAGTTCCCATTTTTATTTTCTCACATTAAAAAAATACATCCCTGTCGGATTAATGCAATGGGTAGATTTTCTCAGACAGAAACTATACGCTACTCCTTTAAAAATTTATCTTGGAGGTTCTCACCAGTCAGTTATGTGCAAAGTAGAACTTGACACATGTGCGTCAAATCTAGTTACTGTCACACAGTTTTTGATCATTAATAGTATATCTTAAAATATATAATTCAGTTGAAAATCGAACCAGAAATACTTCTTTTAGTTTGGTTTATTCCTCTCACTTTTGCGAGGAATGTAAGAAAGATTACGGTGGGATCGTTATTGATTTCTAGTTTAAGCCGTTTCAGAAAATAACTCAGGTCACTGAGTTACGCCATTTCACTGTACCGAATTGTAAACTGACGTAGCTTGAGTATCATCACTCAGTTAAACAATATCAATCGTATACTCAAGATTAGAAAGGTTTTCCCAGGAAACTGATCCACACTACTATTACTACCACTGTAGTAAACAGAACACTAGTTGGGGACAATCGGATGTATTTAGACACAGATTACAGACTATCTCACTAAATTCTGTTAACCATACAGCAAACAGTTAATTTGCAAATTGACAACCAATTGTCTTAATCTTCACTGTTCTTTCTGTAAATATCAATTCATTTCCAATTTCACTGTTTGTGCATTTTCCTACCAATTGCGCTTTACTACAGTTCTATTCTTATCGGTCTTCTGCCGAAATACATTTCATGTCTGACCATCGCCATATATTACTTATATGGATATAAGTAGACTACGTTACTACTACCTACTTCCATGAGTAACGCTTTCAGAATGTCATCGATGGCAAAGTTGTGGGGAAATGATGAAACTAAGCATTCCTGGCTAACTCTAATGTTGGAATATACAATGCAGAGAGGTGGTTGTATGTCTTCTTTGTGTCTGAGGTGTTGTATACCAATCCTTCAAGATATTAATAAACCTCTCAGACATACTATTCTTAAACAGACAATGTAAAAGCGCAATCTCATTTAATATAACATCGGTGGCGTTTGCCAATAAACTCTCATGATTTTATTGGTATTCGACAATCTTTTAGGGATCTTCATAGAATTCGTAATATAAGATTGTTTTATGTAAAGGCTACTTTAATTATGTCTGAAATAGTCTTGAGTGGAGTAACATCACTATTCTTACTGTATCAATTTGCGAGCTTCACAGTTTATTTTAAGTAGTATATCTTTATTTGCATGATTATCTGATTTTATCAATAAATCCGATCAATTTATAATTCCCCGAATCCTTACATTTTTTTCTATTATGGTTATCCATTTCAGATTTTCAAATATAAACGTTCTACTTTTTGATGATCGAGCGAGCAATGGTAAGCACACAGTCAGTTAAAGATCATTCTTTTAAAGAGTATTGTTTGGTTTATTCACCTGATCTTCTATGTGGGTTGTACTATCATTAGTTACTGATTCTGAAAGAAGGTCATAACTGGTTTGTAAATACCCATGAATGTCGAGTCTTTATGCCGTTATTGTGCAGATTAAGAGAATTTTTCTTTTACACTGCTATCGCTGAAGATATGGTACTATAACTATTTTGATTATAATATCTCAGTTTTGTGATTATCACTTCATTTATTTTTGAAGTGCCTTTGAATGAGTTATCACATCGCCATTAGCGGTAGCTTTTTCCTCTTGATTATATTAGTCATTTTTGTCAATGAGTCATTAATAGTAAAGCATCAATTCAAGTTTCCGCACCATATCATGACATTTAGTAATATCATGTTAATTGCCAAAATTATTGACCTACATAAAACTAATCAGATTGTTAGAAACCCGAGAAAAGCTTATTCGGATAGAGGTGGTTTAGTTACTGTTCTGTTTCATGAAGCATCAATCACTTCTTCAAATGTTAAAACATCTCCATAATTATAGCACGCTATCAGTCGTTATAATTCTTGGTATCATAGCCACATTCGTTTCGTTAAATAAGATTGTCCTTTGGGATTATCTGCGTTCTTCCTGCCATCCTAATCAAATAAGTTGAAGAACAATAAGATTAAAAGCAACAAACTCACGGTCTGTAGGGGATGTCTTATTGCTGACTGTATTGTTCTACTGCAATAAGATGTTTTTCTCAAGCAGTCAACATCTAAAGAAATGTTGCCTTGTCACAAAAGTATCGCCTGTTACCCCTAGTGGAGGAGCATGAGCCGCTCACCAGTTCTAGTTAGCGTTTTTTCAGCGAGTTAGTTTTCTACAGGATAGGGTCGCTAAACCCATGTCCAACCCTGCTCCTTGACTTTCTCAGGAAAAAAAATCCCGACAGTTGCTCCTACCATGACGTCGTGGTCGGGCTTGCCTATCGTGATGAATCAATCGAGCTATGCTAGCTGGAACAATCGTTACTCAAGGTCCTACCATACCAGACAGGTCGGTTGAAGAGCGGTAAAAATAAAAGCAGCAAACCAAAGGTCCGAAGTCGTACTGCTGACTGTACAGAGGTGTGACAGCAGTAAGGTGTATCTTTCAGACAACCAGCATAACAGCGATGCTGCCTTCCCACAATGAGGGGTGGGGTTAGAAAAGGTCGACCCTAAAAATGCACACCTCACCTTATCCCACGGATATCCGTCTCCGGCTGTAAGGTCCTTTGAAGAACGGAGCTAACACAAAAACTACCCACAAAAAGGTCGTGTGTGACCGACCTCAAGTAGTTGTCCCTTGGGCACTGCGGTCACGCTCTCAGGTGATTAAGATCACTTCTAACCCAATTTCCTTTTCATGTACCCCTGAAAGAACCCTTCCACAGTGTGGGCAACCGGGAAGTGATAACTGCCCTCATACCTATAACAGCACTCAAGACCACTTTATTCATAATCAATCTCCTTCTTCAATTCCCACTATTCCTCATACCTTGACTTGCAACACTAAACTTCCTCCCTCTGTTTCCTTCTCAAGTGTCACCATGGCCAACGATTCTAGTGCGCGAAACGCTGTCCCAGGTCTACTAAAACCTCGCTCCAAACTACACATTCGAGCCTTCAACGTACATACCCTATGCCAAATCGGTCAACAGGCCTCCTTAGCTAAAACCCTAGAATCTCGTACCATTGATGTATGTTGTGTCTCCGAAACACGCATACAGGATCCCAGTGTGGTCATTCACTTGACCTCAAAATCATCCTGCGATAACCATAGAGGTATTAGTCTGACTAACATAGCATCTAAAATACTAGCCTCAATAATTATCGGGCGAAACTAGGACTCGTGAACTGCAAACACGAGAAAATCAGGCTGGCTTCAGACTTGGTTGTAGCTGTATCAACCACGTATTCACCATTCGTCAAGTTTCAGAGCACAGACATGCTTATCGCGTCCGACAATGATAGTTTTTCTTGACTTGAAAGCAGCATTTGACTCTGTAGACCGAGAGGTTCTGTGGCAGTGTCTGTCATTGAAAGGTGTATCTGAGAAATACGTAAACCTTTTGAAGGCTCTTTACTCGAACACTATTAGTCAAGTGAGAGCTTATGGCGAACTGTCATATGATTTTACAACCTCAAGTGGTGTCCGACAATGCTGTCCACTATCCCCAATTTAATTAAATTCATTATAGACCTGTTGCTGGAAATAACACTCTCTGCGACTGAATGAAATGACGAACTCTATTGACGATTCTATTCCTGCGACTGAATTTTCAGTAATTGATCTTCTACCAGGAGGTTCACTTATCGACTTAGAATACGCAGATGACATAGTCCTGTTTGGTGAAGACGCTGGCAAAATGCAGAGTCTTCTTTTGGAACTCAGTAATAATGCCAGGATGTTTGGGATGCGATTCTCCCCATCCAAATGTAAATTGTTACTCCAGGACTGGCCTGCGTCAACACCTGAACCAAGGATAGGGAGTGAAGTAGTCGAACGCGTCGACAACTTCAATTATCACGTAATTCATTATTAATAAATGTATTGTCATACATATTGAAAATTGTTGAAATATATATATATATATATAGATATGCTCCCTTTTCACACATTCATTACTTGACTTTTTTTCAACTTTTGTAATATAAAGCAGACGGAAGAAACAAAGATGAAGATCCAGTAACTAATCAAGTGGTATGTTGTGTACATAATACATATATTTTTATTAAGTGAAATGCATAGTTGTAATTTCCCATAAATTAAACGTTTTCTATATTTAAAACTCTTGAAACATTGATTGTAACACAAACTTGTGTTATTGTTATAACTTGTGACCTGGATGCTCTGTTAATGTATGACGTGATAAGACCGCCAATCACAGAGCAGCAAATTATCGTTTGGAAGTGACAAACGGAAACCGTACGAGCAGTTTAAAATACCCGTCGATCTTGCTTTCTGCCTAGCGCAGCCAGTTAAGTCCAGAACACCAGTCTCAGCCTCTGAGGTATGAATCATTGTATTTCGAACATACTGATCAAATAGACCACATCGTACCATAAAATAGAAAATAACATTTATACAAGATTCAACCAAAAGTGACTGTGAATAGGGGGAAAAGTAATTGATAAACTGAGGATAACTCAAGAACAGTAAATCGTATATTAATTGTCTATGGGTCAAAATGAAGCTTATAATAAGAGGGACATGCATTTGAATAGTTTAATTAGTTAACAATTATACAATAAAAATATATGTATCATATTGTTCCATAAATAGTTCTCAAATGTTACCATTCATAATTCTTATCGGAACATAACCGTAATAATATATGCTACATCTATTGAATACTGACGATTATTCATCATGCTTCCTCATAGTGCGAATCATTTTGCATATTTTTTTCGGTCTTGTTTATTTTACACTCTGTTCATAATTATTTTAATGTTTTTACAGAAGCTGCTTCCTGAAGAATCTGTACCTGCTACCGCCGAATCACTTGTGAAGTAAGAAAGTTATTTGATCTTCACAACTACTGAGTTGACATATATTATAATGCTTTCAATTGAATTCAGTGTTAGTCAACCATTTGTAATCAGCGTAGTGCCTGGAATATATTGTAATCTAGTCATTATGTGAATGTTGTCACGCGATAAGATTACTTTTTTCCTCATCGATATTGCCTTCTTTTTCCCTACTGAGTTAAAAAACAGTCCTGATTTTATGAATGTTCTCATTCATATACTAAATCCAGTTTGAAAGCACATTGTTTGATTATTGTTATTAAGTAATTGTGGTATTCAAGTTGATTTTTCGAAGTAGTGCAATAGCATATCTAAACCTTCCGACCGTCTTTTTATTTCGCTCACCTGGAATTTCAAAAAAATGGTAACCTTTAAGTTTTATTCTACTTCTTTTTTATTCAGGGTGTAATTTCTTCCAGGACAATTATATTTTATTTATTTAAACATAGATATTGGCACAAGGAAACACCAGATACATACGTGCCGCACAAATCTCATTTAATTTGTGTGAGGGCATGTGGTTTTCTTAGGGGGCCACACTCGGAGCCTTCGACCTTACGGTCTGATCCACAAGGCAGTGGAACATCGTGAGGATATGCATTCCCACGTTAGCCGGTGACCAACGATTGATTCATAAGCCATTTTTTCACTCAGGATAGTGGTGCTCATGTGTACCATTGATTTGAAATGAGGGTTTTCCAACTCCACATCCACCAACCCCGTTAAAGCACCGGACATTCGTTTTTCGTCCCCTCACTTTCGTCAACAATACCTCCGCCACGAGAAGGCAATGAGTAGGACTTCCCTGGTAGAGGCTATATACGCGTGGTCATGTGAGAGCATTTGGGGAAAAAGAGCGGACTCTCGGCCGTACCAGGGCATTTGTTGGCCTTCCAGGACAATAGTTTATTACTTCATAACATAATAGTCGAAACCCAAGTATTGTTTACAATCTTCTTTTGGGTTCAAACCGAATACTTTTTTTTAATTTTCAAACAAAATAAGCATTCTTTTACTCACTTTTCATTGAATTCATTATCCCATATTACAGAGCATCAAAAAATGATCCTGAAGAATTGGATAGGGAATTAAAGTCAATTGAAAAGTCATGGAGATTACAAAGTATGTCTGTTATTTAGTTTTTATTTAAGATTTCATTGCGTAGAAATTTTATAATTTGTTATTGTTATATCCTAGCGAAGACATAAGTACGGATAACTTACGGGACCTATTATTGGACTATTATTCTACGTATATTCTGATTGTATTACTATTGAGTAACTAGATTGTGTATATCTATATTCATCTTATTATAGGCTTCAGTTTGATCTATGAATTATTACTGTACGATTTACTGTTCTTAAATTTGACTCAGTTTATTGATTATTGTCTCCCATGCTCACGGCCACATTTGGCTTGATCCTGTACAAATATTATTTTCTATTTTATGGTGTGATGCGATCTGTCTGTCTGGTATATAAACAAAGTATGCTTGAAATAAATTATTCGCATAACAGAAGTTGTCATTGATGTTCTGGAATGAATTGGAAGGGCTAGGCGGACAAAGGATCAATAAGGACACTAGAATGCTCATACCTGTCGAACGTCAATGACTTGGCACATTACTAAGATTAGACAAGTCATATTCCCATTTATGGATAATTCACGTGAATAAAAGCCAATAACGAATTAGGATACGTCCTTGGTTTATCCTGTAAAGTCACAACAAATTGGCGACGGCCTTGATCAAGTTATCACAGTTATTATTTTAAAATAAATAATTTCTAATTTATTTTTATTTTTTTCTTACTTTAAGAGAAATTCATTTTATTGAATTATCTTGTAAATCTTGGATCAGAAGATCTCGTTGAACGTGTATTACGATTTTTACCGGATGAACATAAACGACAACTTGAACCAATGAAATCAATTGCACATATAATAAAGTGAGTATATATTGTAGAGATGAAAAAAAATATTAGAATGAATTATTTTATTTAATTAAAGCTTGAATTAGTTGTCATGACAACATTATATGTTATCATACATGATTCGTACAAGTCGTTTTTAAAGTTGTCAACTTCTAGTGACTTTATTTGCCACTCCATCCCGTAGAAACCAACTCGCTAAAAAAACGCTAACCAGAAAAATTATTCAAACTTTGCCCTGAGTGTTGAAAAAATAATTATGACGTCTCATAATAAAAGCCGACTTCCTTCGGAAGTCATGAGGCCTATGCACCTTCTAACAACAAAATCAACAATTTTTATAGGTGCATGGAACGTCCGGACAATGTGAGAGACCCGAAGAGTCAAATTGCTACAGAAATGAGGAAATACACGCTGGAGGTGCTTCGAATCAATGAAACAGGAGATCGGTTAATTAATTTAAATTCTCAATTGAAATAATAGTGGTAAATAAGGGTTCATTTAACAATAAATGACTAAATGAATAATTGGCAACAATAAGTAATCTTCTATTCAAAAATATTAATACCTAACTATTGTACCATCATATAATATTTATTCCTTATACTATATTTCAATAAATATCGTGTATTTGTTATTGTGTAAATAATGGCGGTGTGGATCTGCTGCCTAGAGAACGACTTCTCGACCTCGAGTATGCGAATGATATTGTCTTACTGTGCGATAATGCCCAAGGCAAGCAATTTGCACTTAATCAGTGACAATCAATGTCCGCAGGTACGGTATGTGCTTTGCACCCTCCAAGTACAAAGTACTCCTAAAAGACTAGCAGGATTCTAATCCTGTACTCACCCTGGATGGTGAGCAGATTGAAGTAGTTGAGAAGTTCGTGTATCTAGGTAGCTACATAAGTGCTGGTGGTGGTGTGAGTGATGAGATCAAAGCACGTGTAATGAAAGCCAGAGCGGCTTATGTCAATTTGTACCATCTTTGGCACCTTCGTGATGTGGCTAGAGACGTTATCAGATATGGCTCCAAATAGAAGCCAGAGACTATCCTGCTGTAACCTTTTACTTTCTTCATAAAGAGTGGTTATAACTTTCTTAACTGAGAGAGTTTTTCTGGTTGAACATTTCAGTTCCCCCCACCATTACTCTTCTCTTTTTTTCATCCTATTTTTTTTCTTTTATATATACGCATCTTCCCCTTTTCTCTTCTCATTCTCGTTGTTTTGTGTGGCGCATTTGTATCTGGTGCCCCATTGTACCAATATGTATGTGTTTAAATAAACAATAGTGGTAAAAAAATGTTCAAGTTCCAATCCAATAAAAGCGTAAAATTTAACTGTAACAGTATTCTTATATCAGAATTCTTATTTTCTGTTCAACCAATATAGGCGCTGAATTGTCTTTGTTTAATTAATGTAATAGATATTGTTGTCTATTCGTTGTTTATCATATTACAGATCATCTTTAGCAAATGCAAATTGTGACAAACCATCTTCAGAAAGTGTGAAGCAGTCAATTGAAAATTTACAAAATCTTTCATCTCAAGATTTATACGTTACAATGAGGGGTCCACACTTGGATACACTTTTCAGATGTTGGCCAACGGAACAAATTCCCGACTGTATGTTATATTTTAATGAATTGTTTTTTACTTGTGAAATCAATTAGTCACATCATTTCAAGGTCAATTTTAAAATCTGTATTCATTGTTAGAATATTTATTCTCTACTTATTTTCACTCGGTAGTTCAGTTGAGATGGCTGGGACACGTATTACGTATACCCAACCACCGACTACCCCGACTTGCAATGTTCTATGGTATATGAGTAGGTTCTAAAGAAAGCTAGGGGCGGTCAGACCAAAACGTGGCACAAATTCATAGAGTCACTGACAAGTGGACTGAGCTATAGTGGTAGGTGTAGACTACCCGGTTTTGACTCGCGATATGATATAGATATGATATAGAGATTTTGAATGACATGGCTGAAAATCGTTTGCAATGGTGAAGGTACATCCACTCTTTGTGCTCTGCCAAAGTGTAATCTGAATTCTTCATATTTCTATCTTTTTTCTCTTTTCAAATTTATTTCACTGGATTATACTCCTTCAATAACATCTTCAAACCCTAATCTTTCACATAATGCTTATACTCTTACTACTTCTACCGTTATGGAATTTGAATCGACAATTGCATCTCTGTGCTAATTTGGTGTGGCAACCCGAACTGATGTACGTACGTACAAAGTTCTACATTGTTACTGACTGACTGATATACTTTTAAAATCCTGCTTACTTTCTCATATTATTTACGGTTGTCGAATTTAAAGTACATTAAACATTAGAAAATATCCAAAACTATATTTTTTAGAAAGTATCTTGTGAGTATAACAAAACAACAAATTCATCATCGATAGGGAAAATATGCTTAGCTTTGCATAAGCTCAAACACTAGTAGCAAATTCGCGACTATATTTAGGAGAGAAAATTTTATTGGTTTGAAAACATAAATATTGGTACAAACGGGTACCGAATGCATATATGTCGCACAAGTCACTTGATTTATTTGTGGGCTCTGATACTGCACGGGTGCCCAGACCGAAAAACATGATTTTCTTAGAGGGCCACACTCACAGTCTTCGACCTAATGGTCTGAACCACAGTGCAGTGGGGCAACGTAAGGAGATGCAATCTCATGTTAGCCGGCTACCAACAACAGGTTCATATGCTATTTGTTCCTTCTAGATCCTGGTGGCCATGTACACCATTGGTTTGCAATCAGTTTTTTCCAACTCCCTTAAGTGAATCATCTGTGTCCACAAGTTGATCACTTAGAATCCCTTTTAATGTTTGGGTAGTATATGACTCAATGATGTGAGTTAATCTTTGCAGGAAATTATTTCCTGCTGTTTTAATTTGAAAGAAAATGATCACTTTGTTCAAACAGTCTCAGTTAAACATAGTATTTTAACAAGAAACTAAAGTAAATCATAAACTACTGCTAACTTTCTTTTATCAATTGACAAGTTATTAAAGAGTGTAGTTTATGACGGCTACTTTATGTTTTTTCACACCATCTGCACTCACCAATTCGACTTGTTCGGGATACGAGTTAAAGAATATTGTGGTTAGGAAAATTAAGATATAGGATCAATCTATTTAAGTTAACTACCGTTAGTTTGAGTTGTGTGGGTTCCATTTTGATCAATATTGGGTTTCGTAAGCAAAGTCTGCATCGTTACCCAGTGTTTTAACTCGAAAAGTTGCGTAATTTATTTGATGAAATCTGATGTGGGAAAATTTTGATTAGGAAAACTGAAAACTGTGGTCATGTTTGAGAGGCAAATCTAACTGCTTTTCATACACTCCATAAGGGTGTTTAATCGTAGCTATTCAAAATTTCTTTGATGTAAAACAGGTTTAGCCGTATATATGTGTAAGTGATATCGGGGAATAAATTTAAGGCTTAATGTTTTGTGTTTACTACATGTTTCGGAATAGATGGTGTAGTTGACTATTGTTGTCCTTCGCTAAACTTCATTGGTAAGTTTATCAATCCGACCAACAAGGTACATGCCAGTATCATTTATTTTAGATTCACAATCGTTATTATCTTTAGGACTAGTTATCTTTTTTGCTCAGTTAAAAAAATATTCATGTCGTATTTTCTTTTAATTTTTTTATCAGTGGTTTTTATCACGAAAAAACTCTCCAAACTTGGTCTCAATTCTGTCAGTTTACAGTTGGCTGGAGTTTTGATTAATCGTGGGCTGAGTGACTTAGTTTCTACTTTGTTGGAGGTAATTATCGTTATCCTTTTTTATGACAAAAGATGAATAGGGAGTGTATTGACAAAATTACTTTGTATTGTAGGCAGTTAGTGACTGGCAATAGAGTTACATTGTTGTTGGAATCTATATATAGCCGGATATAGTTAAGCAAAAACCAATCAACTAACTTCCACTACTTTTAATGATGATAGCTTAGGGTTTATCCAACTGAGGATTTTCTTGTTCGATACCGTTCTTTAATGAAATATTATTTTAGTAACCGACTCCTTGGTTGTACTACATAACAAGGAAAAAGATTAGCGAGATTAACACCCCTCTATACAGGTAGTTTTCCCTGTTAAGAATTATGTGTCGCATGTCAAATTCAGCTCCACGTATCATCTTATTGACGGCACGAAATTCCTTAGTACTACAAACTTCTGCGAAATACGTATCAGTTGTTATGATATGTGTAGGAGTTATGTTACTGACCTGTCATTTTAACAAAAAACGACGGTAGCCGTTAGAAACCGAATGCCAATACTTCCGAAGATTGTAATTGTTTGTTATACTAACAGTACCAATAAGTTTTGTACCATAACGCAATATGCCAGAATTCGTATGGTGTCATATTAATTTTAACAATTAATAATATTCTTTCTTCAATGTCACTTCTCATTTAGAATAACAAAACAGTTCCGTTTACTTTCTTGGTTGGTAATCCACGAAATTCATTGACGAAATCTGAATTTCTTGCTTCAGTGGAGTATCTAAAATCTGTTGACTCTCAACATGTTCCCGGTTTTGTGGATCATTGTCTTCGCAATGCAGGTACCAAATCTAAATATTGTTGTTGTTGTTGTATTTTTTTCTTGATGATTTCACGGTAAACTCAATCCCTTTTCTTCATTTTCGTTGTGACGTTCCAGTGTGCATATTTAGAAAATATTCTTAAAAACGTATTTAATAGAGATTAAACATAGACTTCAGTTTCTACAAGTAATTAAATTCAGAAAATTAATTAATTAAATCTCAATTGTACTTGTTCAGCTTTCATTATTACATCCTAATTGAACGGCAGGACTAAAATATATATGCTGTTCGTTAAAGCGTTTATCTTCTACACGATAATACAACCGGTCATCGAAATTTTTATGATCACTAAAGCGAATAGTCAATCAACAGGCTATTAAGTAGATCGAGATCATGACATATATATGTTTGTCGCACCACCAGTGACCACTACCTTAATTTGCCACAGATCACATCGGTCCACATTTCACTACCCACTTTAGTATCCGCTAATTGTATGCAGGTTTTGTGATTGTGTACAATGATCCCAGAAATCTGTATATCATAACTAGTAGTAATATTCAAGCGATTTTTACAATCCCGTTTTCCAGACGTCATTTGAAGATAGATTCTTCTAACTAAATACGTAAATATCGTTGTCGTTCCTGCGGTGTCGACACTTCAACATAAGTTGACATCAATGAGGGATCTCACTAACTTGAAATCATACGGTTTAATATACTACGTTAGTTGTCTCCTTGATATAGTCCTGAAATTTTCTGTATAATTTCAGCTTTGTCAACAAACGATGACAATTTCTACCAGTTAATTCGTACTGTAGTATCACCACCGTTCAATATGGATCTTCTTCAAGTCTGTATACAACCCACTCTCCAAGTTTTATATCATCGTTTGGAAGTGAGCAAAAATGTAAGTCCTGATTTTGTGTTTCATTTTTCGGAGTTAAGAAAAACTTAATTTGAAAATAGCCCTCATAGATACCTTTTAGTAATATAAACGTCCATCACGATTTATTAATTGTTGTAGATCCAGTGGTTCGAAGGAATTCTTTGTTTGGGTAAATAAACCAACTGATCAGACAAACTTTCCCAAAAATTTATCTGCCACCTTAACTTATTTCATTCGTACTCTAAACAAACTGTATCCGTCCAGTTGCAGTGATTTCGTTTGTTAATTTATGAAAATAAAGTATGGCCACCTACTTTTCAAAATGAATCGGTCCTAGTAAATATCGCATCATTTTTGCTCATACTCTGACTCTTTACTTTCTACTGTCGTATGTTATTATTCCTTTTGAGTCGCTTAAGTGTAGCTTCTGACTGAAATTACTGGTTTTAGTCATTAGTAACAGAGTCTTATTTTGTGTTAGTGATGACTCTCTATATTCTATGTTCAATCTCGAAAAATTCTCCATCTTGATTTAATTGGTTTCTGTCTCTTTTTCATTGTAGCTACCAGAAGATATACTTCAAGCTGCACAGCCAGTTGTCCAGAAATTTACTGCATTAAAAGCTAAAGCTTCCAATTGAATCACGAAGCTTTCCCCCTCACTTCTTTCTTCAAACCGCAATACCATAGGTTTCTTTATGAACAATTTTAATTGTTTTTAGTCATCATTGTGTATAATAAATTATACAAATCAGTTTTTGGCTTAAGCATGAATTATTCATTAGCAAGGGCTAACTAGAGACACTACAATGCAATTTTCATAGACTGAAAAGGACTTAACAATACCATCTAAAAAGTAAGTAACTTGTTAGTGAGATAATTACCGAACAACCTACGCTCTCAGACTGTAGGACATTAACTACTAATATTACACTTCGAAAGTAGATGAATGTGTTTCTTACGAAAAGGTCGAATGAAAGATCACTTGTGAACAGCCACATGTTCATTCATCCAAGCTGTTAGCATAGCGATAGTAGTCATGGCTTTTGAGTATTATGTAATTAGTTATCAATGCCAAGGTTTAGACTTGATAGTTTCAAATTAATTGAGAATTATGTAAAAAGTTAATACTAAATATGTTTTTGTTATATTCCAATGAGTAGAATAAGTGGATAGTTAGAACGCAGCAGAAAGGCACTTTTATTTGTCTTACAGTATCACCACAAAGAGAACATATGACAGTAACCGGCTGCTATAATACATTAAATCCACGTGTGATCATTCGCTTGAACTTGGTCGATACGAAGAATTGATATGGGAGTAGGTTTACAGACTTGACTAGCCCTCCCCAATATGGGTGTATCATTTATTTCAAAGTCAGAACGGGCTTTTCTAAACTGGATCTCAGTAGACCGGTGTTTGTTGACTGTCTCAGTAAATGGAGATGTAAGATCATGCCAAGTTAGGAATACACCGTTGTCTATTCTCTGTCATACCGTGCTTCTATTGACTGCCGGGAAAGTCCTACTCGTGGCGAGAGTGTTCACGAAATTAAGAGAAAGAAAAGTGAGTATCCGGCGCTTTTTTGAGGTATGTTAGACCCATCAAAAGCGGTTAAAAATACTGATTCCAAACCAATGATCCTGAAGGAGAGAATAGCGTATGAGCCTGTTGTTGGTCACCGGCTATCATGAGACTGCATCTCTTAATGTTACTTCACTGTCTTGGGGATTAGAACGTAAAGTCAAAGGCTCGGGGACTGGCACCCTAAGAAGAGTACCCACTTCTATTTGGGCATACGACCGCTACCCAAGACTTAACACAAAGGGTAGCGCATATATATTTGGTGCCTCCTTGTGCCAAATATCATGAGTTCAAATAAATAATTGACTGACGTTCGGATAAAAAGGGATGGTTTGCAATTAGCTACAGCGAGAAGGTTCCTTCGTTTTCAGCCTAACGACGAAATGTAAATCTCAAAAGTCACTGTATAAGCAATTAGTCAATCGTCTTCTTCACCTCATATTGCGTAGACCGTAATGTCATTTATAAGCGTTGTAATCAAAATAATAAAAACAGCCTGTGGGTTCCAATAGTGTACACTAAGTTAAAATGATCGCGAATATTCTCTCAAGCTTCGAACTTAATGTAGGCTTCGTGCGCTGCATATGGAGGTTACTGCGCTTGGGACATGAATCCCCAAGTACTGGATTGTCAAGTTTAAACCTGAAAGAAAGACCTTAGATCGTTACTTTCTAACACTTGGCCGGAGCTGTGACATTAAAGCGGTGGTCGGGCTTGCCTATCTTGACCACCCAACCGAGCTATATTGTCCGGAACGTGTGTTCTTGTATCTTCTACCATGCCCGTCAGGTCGATTAGAGAACGGTAAGACTAATAGCAGCAACTCAAGGGCGGGGTTGTACTGCTGACTGTAAAGGGGTGGGAAACAGGTTTTCCCTCGGAGTGCCGGCATGCGCAGTGTTGCTGTCTTCTTACGAAGAAAGAAACGGTTGTGAAAGTTCGCTCTAAAAATGCCGCACCTTACCTCACGGATTTCCGTCTTCGGCGGTAAGGCCCTTCGAAGAACTGAGCTAACACGTCAAAAATTCCTCATGAAAAGGCCGTGCATGACGAGCCTCAAGCAGTTGTTTCTTGGGTTCTGTGGTCACGCTCCCAGCTCGTTAAGACCAACACTAAACCAAATTTTTTTTAAGTTACTCAACGAAATACTCTTACACGGTGTTCTCAGCCGGAAAGTAATATTAGCCCTCATACCCATAACAGCACACGAGACCAAGTTGGGTACAACCTAATCCTTTCTACATCTAATAACTCATATCCACGACTAACCATTCTCAAGTCCCTTTGTCATCTCTAGGGCAGACTATTCGAGTACACGGAACGTGTCCTAAAATCACACTCAAACTACATGTAGGAACTTTTAGCGTCCGAACACTGTCAAATAGGACAACAGTCTTCGTTAGTCAGCACCATCGGTGTGTGTTGTGTCTCTAAAACGCCCATACAGGGTCCGAGTGGCGTCATTCATTTGACCTCACCATATCAAAATAAAGAACAAAATAGATTCACGTTTCGTGTATCTGGAAGCCCTGATACTGCTCTTTGTGGCCTTACTGGCGTAGACATAGTCTTAGGGTGAACTAGCTCTTTTGGACTGGATCTCAGTAGATTGTTGTTTGTGCGACTAAACGGAACGGTAAGGACTCGAAAAGATAAGGACGCTCGTCGTCGTCTCTGCCTACTCACCCTTTGACTGCAGCTCAGATGATGTGAAAGACGAGTTTTACAGAAATCTTTCCAACCTTCAACGAAAAGCTAAGCGCTCTGACGTAGTAATAGTGCCTGGTAACTTTAATGCTCAAGTATGTAAACTTAGCGAATGGGAAAGATACCCTGAATGGATCTTAAGGGGTTATGAGAGATAATGACAAACGTCTGTTTCATCTGTGCTCAGATAACCGCCTGTTTCGTGCAAATACTAACTTTAGGCACAAGGAAAACGACCTTTTAACATGAAGACCACCGAATTCGTCCCAACGTTGGACCAAATTAGATCACTTCGCTATCAGCCATCGATCGAGGGGCTCGATAGAAATCAGTCAGGTACAACGTTGGACCGGGCACATATATGCATCGGTCCAAGTTGTCATACCTCGTTAGCACAACAAAATGAACACCGGATTCATAGAAGTAATTAATTTAGTGGTGGTAGTAGTATATAAATTATAGGTTGTATATAAGGATATAGTATAGGAAGGAAGAGAGATATGAAGCAATTTTAGTCTCAATGTTTAAAGGAAGATAAAGAGTGTATGCACCTACGCCATTGTGATCGATTCTGAGCCATGTCACACAGAGTCTCCAACCATTGGTTACGATAGTCACACGGACCCCAACCAGGTAATCTGCATCTGCCAACATGGCTCAGACTAGAAGTTAGGGACTTCAAGCACTGATGCCATGTTTTGGTTTGGCCGCCCCTAACTCTCTTCCAACCATCCCGAATACTAGTCATCATAGCGCGTCGTGGTAATCGGTGTTCAGGCATACGTAACATGTGGCCCAACCATCTCAGTCGATGAAGATTCATCACCTCATCAACCGATTTACCATCGTTCCCTAATACCCTGTGTCTAACCTCACTATTACTTACCCGGTGATCCCAGCAGATGCGAGCGATATTTCTGTGGTCAAATACTAGTAACCTACGAGTATCTTCTATTCTAAATGGCCATGTTTCACAGCCGTAAAGTAGAACAGAGCGAACTGCTGCGCAGTATACTCGTCCTTTAATTGATAGACGGATTTATCGTCTTCGCCATAGGTGACGTAAGTTGGCAAAAGCCAAACGAGCTTTTCGAATCCGTGCTGAGATTTCGTCAGACACCAACCCATTAGGACTGATCAGACTTCCAAGATAATTGAAGTTGTCGAGGCGTTCGACTACTTCACTCCCTATCCTTGGTTCAGGTGTTGACGCAGGCCAGTCCTGGAGTAACAATTTATATTTGGATGGGGAGAAACGCATCCCAAACATCCTGGCATTATTACTGAGTTCCAACAGAAGACTCTGCATTTTGCCAGCATCTTCACCAAACAGGACTATGTCATCTGTGTATTCTAAGTCGATAAGTGAACCTCCTGGTAGAAGATCAATTCCTGAAAATTCAGTCGCAGAGAGTGTTATTTCCAGCAACAGGTCTATAATGAAGTTAAACAAAAATGGGGATAGTGGACAGCCTTGTCGGACACCACTTGAGGTTGCAAAATCATATGACAGTTCGCCATAAGCTCTCACTCGACTAATAGTGTTCGAGTAAAGAGCCTTCACAAGGTTTATGTATTTCTCAGATACACCTTTCAATGACAGACACTGCCACAGAACCTCTCGGTCTACAGAGTCAAATGCTGCTTTCAAGTCAAGAAAAACTATCATTGTCGGACGCCGATAAGCGTGTCTGTGCTCTACAACTTGACGAATGGTGAATACGTGGTCGATACAGCCACAACCACTCTGAAGTCAGCCTGATTTTCTCGTGTTTGCAGTTCACGAGTCCTAGTTAGGCGCCCGATAATTATTGAGTCTAGTATTTTAGATGCTATGTTGGTCAGACAAATCCCTCTATGGTTATCGCACGATGATTTTGACCCCTTCTTATATATTGGGACAATCAGAGATTGTGACCAGTCAGATGGGATTACCTTCGTCTCCCAGATTTTAGCCAGAATATTAGTCAACCTAATCGCCAAAACCGTTTCCACAGCTGTTCGTATGTCTTTCGAAGCAGCATCTGTGTGTTGTATTGTTTACAGAACTGCCTAGATGTGAACTCAGTTGTTTCTGGAATTCGCATTTGGCTTTCTCGTCCTCCAGTTCAATCTTAATGGGTCTTCTTAGTGTACTTTTCCTGCGCAGACAAACGCGCGCTCGTATTAAAGCGTGATCAGAGTCTAAACAAGTATCCCAATACAAGCGACAATCTTCTATTGAGCCTCTCCAACGATGACTGATGACAATATGGTCTATTTGAGTCCATCGTTGGTTTAATGCAGGTGGTCGCCATGTTAGACGATGTCTCTCCTTATGTTTAAAATTAGTGCTCGCTAAAAATAAACGATTGTCTGAGCATAGTTGCAATAGACGATCACCATTATCGGTTCGTTGAGCCGGAATACTAAACCACCCACCTAAATGTTTTTCTGTTCGATTCAAGCTGCCTACCTGGGCATTAAAGTCACCCGCTACGACTACTATGTCTGAGCGCTTAGCTTTCTGAAGAAGCTCAGAGAGCTTTCTGTAAAAGTCATCTTTCATTTCATCATGGCTGCAGTCAGTGGGAGCGTAGGCAGAAACGACGAAAAGGTAACGACGTGTGTCCCTATCCTTACGAGTTCTTACGGAGCCATTTAGCCGGACAGCACACAGGCTACTGTTGACGGGGATCCATTCTAGTAGTGCCTGTTCTGCCCTTGTACTTAGTG